CGATCCGCCCCGCGCGGTTCCGCGGTTCCGCGCAGCGAAAGCCGACACCCTGAGGTAAAGAGTGCGTTCTTGGAGCGCTGATGGCGCGGCGGCGCCAGGGCGGCGAAGGCCACGGCGCGGCCAGCGGCTGCAGAGGGCCGGGACTTTCTCTCTCGCACTCATGGGGCGTCCCTTACGGGTGCGAGAGCGATAGGCCGGCCCGACGGCACCCTGCCGCGAGGAGGTGCCCGACGTCCGGCCGGCCTTCCTTCCCAGGCTTCGCGGCTTGGCGGCTTCGCGCGGGGCTTCCCTCCACCTCATCCCCGCGGCGTCGCGCGGCCCGGCCACGTCCACCGGGCACAAAAGCTCCAGACCTCCCCTTCCGTTTGGCGGCGCAGCAGCGCGGGTGACGCAAAGGGTCTCCCTGGTCCCCTTCAAGCACGCAGCGAGCAAAGCCGGCTTAGGGAGGCTGCAAGGGCGCGGCGCCGCGCGGCGGGACTGCCGAGGGCTCCAAGGGCCTGTCGCGCCGTCTGGCCTCAATGGTGCACCCCGACGCCGCGCGCCGCCACGCCACGCCTCTCCACGAGACAATGGCTGGTTCGGCTGGTTCGGCGGGGCGGGGCGCCGCCGTCGAGTACCTCTTTCCTCTCTCCTCTCCCCGTCGGCGGACGACGGCGCGGAAGGGAGGGGCGCGGGGCGCGGCGGCGGCCGTCGAGAGGGGCGCGATCGCTGCCGGAGCCTCGCCGTGCCGCGCCGTGCCATGGCGTGCCATGCCGTGCGCGCGGTGAGGCGGGGCGGCGCACGGTGGACGGGACGGCCGACCACCCAACTCGTCTTGTGTGCTTGTTCGACGGGCGAGCGAACGCCAGCCAAAGCAAGCGCGCGCACACACACAAACCAACACACACACGCACACGCGCACGCACATGCGCTGCGCCGCCGTCGGTATGAGTACGTATACCGTCGGGTCAGGTACCCGCCGGTGCCCTCAGCCAGGCGGCCCGGGCTCCGTCGTCCCCATATCAGTCTGTCCCGATGCTGTACACTGCGCTAGGGCTTGATTACCCAAGATGGGTGTACAGTCAGTGCGATAAAGGCTCCGACGCGGCGGCGGTGGGTGGGACTCGAACCCGGGCCGCATCTGTCCGGCAGGCCGTAGTACGCTCGCTTTCATTCACGGGGCGAGGGCCGCAGCTGGACCACGAGGGTGGCGAGCACGGCGAGCACGGCGTGCCTGGCCACGGCGCGCCAACCCCACCGGTCGATGCGCCCAGCCAGTCAAGGAGGTGCAGCAGCCGGTGGCGTGCACGTCCCCGCCGTCCCGGTGCGGTGCGGGCGGTGCGGGGTGGCGGCGACGTCGCGCGAGGGTGGCCGTCGTTGCTTGCGCCGCGCGCTGCCGTATTGAGGGATCCGAAAGCGATGATGAAGCTCTGGCCTCCCCTACACCGTGCGAGGACGCCCCACCCCGCCCCGCCCCGCCACGTCCCGCCCCGGGCCGCGCACCTCCCTCTCGTCACCGCGCTGCAGTACATGCTGCAGTGCAGGCTGCAGCCCCGCGGCCAGGACGCCGAAATTACCCGTTTCCGGAGCGGGTCGCCTCACCGCCGGCCCTCGGGCCAGCCGGCCAGCCCCAGACACGCCACCAGCCACCACGGACGCCAGGCACCACGAGCAAGCAAGGGGAGGAGAGCCGGAGCTGCCCGTCGACGACTTGGCTGTTTTCGGCGTCACGGCGGGGGCGGCACTCGCCACCACTGCCAAGCTTACTATGCTGAAGGACCGCTTCATTGCTCCGTCTCAGTCGCACTCGTGGGGCGTCCCGTGGGCGTGAGAGAGACGGAAGATCCTTCGGCATCGCTCGCTGCACAGTGGGCCAGAAACCGGCGGAGGCGGCCAAAATTCTAGACGCGTTTTGAGCTCCAGAGTCGCTAAATGGGACTGAACCGAACGTGTGACCCTACCAATGGATTGCTCTCCGGACTAGGAATCCATTGGTGGGGTCACACGTTCGGTTCGAGTCCTATTTAGCGACTCTGGAGCTCAAAACGCGTCTAGAATTTTGGCCGCCTCCGCCGGTTTCTGGCCCACTGTGCGCCGGGAGCCTGGCCGCGGAGATAAGTCCGCTGGAACGGGTGCACCGCTCTTCCGGCGAGGAAGTCTGCTCGGCGTCGATAAGAAGTGGAGTTCGACGAACAGCCCGCCGCCATCTTGTTTTAAGGAAAGCCTTTTTTGTCCTTCCAGCCGAAGACATAATCAGGGACGGCAGCAGTGCGAGCGGCGCGGCTGCACCGAGTGCGACCAGCACAAAGAGACGCGGATTATTTAAATATATCTTTAACGCGAGGCCTTTCGTATTGTGCTGCCGTCTGCCGTCCGATCTCACACACACACTCACACAAGCGCGGACCAACAATGCGGCAAGCCCGTACGACAGGAGGCGCGCAAGCAGACGCCACCACCCCGAACGCAAGAAAAAGAATCAGGAATCGAGCCGGATTGTCTTTTCCCCTTTGGCCTCTTTTTCTTGGTGGTGTGCTGGCCAGCCAGGCCTGCCCGCTGGCGCGCTGGCCCGATGTTCTCTGTGCAAGACTGCCTGGCCGGCCGGATTCTTGGTTTTCAGTGCGGCCCGATTCCGTCCCAGTGCCCTGGGCTGCCCTGGGCTGCCCTGGGCAATGCCCACCACCCCGCCTCCCGCTCCTTCCATCATAATTATGTCTGCAAGGCATTCCAGCGCAGCAGCGCAGCACAGCCATACGATCCACTCCAGCCTGACGGGCCCGGCTGGAGCTGGAGAGAGACAGAGCGCGCCGTGCTGCGGCGGCTAGAGGGAGAGAGAGCGCGCCGTGTTGCAGCGGCGCTCCAGCGGCGCTCCAACGGCGCTCCAGCGGCGCTCCTCCAGCGCACCGAGAGCGCTGCTGCGACGCTTGCGACGCTCTGCTCCGCGCCGCGCGCTCAGCTTTCTAGGAACAGGGGATGCACCTGTGCAGGCTGCTGCCTGGCCACGCCTGCCCGGCCAGCAGCGCGGCAGCCTGGCCTCCGCCTTGGCCTCCGCAGCGACCGCAAGGCAACGGCACGGCCCGGCAGGTGCTGTCCTGGGCGACATTTCCCTCCCTTTCCGGAAACCGCCCCGCGTCATTATGCTAACGACAGTCTGGCCCCGGCATGCCTGGACTTCCCCGACACCAAGCAGGCGCGTCCGTGGCCGCCACCGAAACGACCACAGCCTGCCAAAGGCACCAAAGGCGAGGGGCGGCCAGGGAGAGGGGGGTCTTCGCCTCCTCCTGGCCCGTCCGCCGAGTCGCCTCACGCGCTCACGCACCAGGCCAACGAGACCCCCGGGTCCGACCGGCTGCCGCAGCGCCACCGGGCACGCCGCCGCACCGCAGTGCATGGGCATGGCTCGGCGTGGCCGTGGCCGCCGAAGACGGACGGGCAGACGGACCGTCGGACGGACAGGCGGACGGACGGACGGTGAGCCGGCCGGGGCGACGCACCAACATGGCTGCACGCCAGAGAGCCAGCCGCAGCGCCAGCAGCAAACCGCGCCAGCCGCGACCACCGCCAGCACCGCCTAGCCAGCCGCCAGCCCCGTCAGCCCCGCCAGGCCGGCGCAAGGAGTCAAGGCGAACCCCACCACTTTGAACGGCCAGGCCGGCGGCCGGCCAGGCCTTTGCAGCCTCAGCCTCCTCGGCGAAAACCAAACCCCGCGCCAAATTCGAATTATATAGCCGGCGCCGCGCACCTGCCGCCGCGGTCAACCAACCGGCTTGGGCGCCAGCGAGGGGGAAGGGGGAAGTAGATATGCTACTGACACTCGGGGCAAATGTTGACTCAAAGTTATCACACCAGTAAATCGAGGGGAGGGGGTGGGGGAATAAGAATGGAATGTTTGCCGACGCGCCGTGTGTCGTTCGGTGGTGGCGTCGCGCCGCGTCCGGGAGGGAAGGGGGAGGTAGGGGCAGGTGTCACCGGGACGAGTCAACACATCATCCAGAAGCTGGAGACAGGAGAAGTCAACACGCAGTCATGGAGCACACTTGCTCAGGATCTTTGACTGCAGCTCAACATCCTCGTTCCACGTGATACCACTGTAAAAGTCTCTTCCGAAACGGCCATTCGCTTCTAACGCTTCAGGCCGGCATTCTCGGAATCCCAACGACCCTTCGCTGCACGGTCCCTGACGAGATTTGCATACCGTGTTGAAAGGTGTCGGTCAGTAATCCTGGTCGGGGCCGTCGCGCCTGTCAGCGGGGGAGGCCGTGTGAAAGTGACGGTCTCGGATTAGTCGCTCTGTCTCTCTCGCACTCGCGTGGCGTCCAGTGTGGGTGCGAGAGAGACAGCGCGCCGAGCGGGCATCGCTCTGTCTGTGCACTGCAAGCAAAAGCCCCAGTCTTCCAGAGCGCGTGAGAGCGTCTCTTGCAGCAGCATTTTCCGAGGCTCTCTCAGCCGGACTACGTATCTCTCGGATCATAATGAGCTGATGGCCCCCGAAGTAATCCGCTAAGAGACGTTTGATTAGGGAGCGGTACTCGGTGGTCCCGCGGCTATCTGGCTATCCGTCACGAGGGCCTAGAAAAAAGGCCTAGGCCTCGAGGGCCGTCGCGGCGCCGCAGTGTACCACCGCCTCGTGGCCAGGCCAAGGGCCAGGCCCGCCGTCGGCCGCCACTTCCGGACGAGGATCAAGGCGCCGATGCAAATCCACCGGCCAATCCGCGGGCCGCCGGCACACTGATTCGGGCCGAGTCGTCGCTGTCTCTCTCGCACCGACACGGGACGCCCCGAGAGCGCGAGAGAGACAGAGCGACGAAAACGACTCTCGGAATCAGCCTGCTGCGGCGCCAGGCCGCGGGTCCTGCGTGCAATCACGGTCACGGGTCGCGGGGCCACAGCCTGATAATCCTCCCACACCGCGACGGCGCCAGGACCGCGACGCGGCGCGGGGGAGGGGGGCGGTGCTGATAGCGAGGGGGCGTCTGGGTGCGCCATGCCGAGGCGCAAGGCCCCGCCGCGTGTGTACTCACCAGGTTTGCACAGCCTGCTCCAGTGGTAAGGGTTGCAGCAGATGGTGGTGGCGCTGCTGTTGGTGCACATGGGCAGCTGCCGCAGCTCGGAGCCCTGCTGCAGCTCGGGCCACCGCCAGATCTGGCAGCACAGCAGGTGCGGCTCGGCGGGCGCCGGGCCGGACAGGCCGGGCGTGCCGGCCAGCGGGCCGCCGGGGCCAAGGCTGGGGGCGTCCAGAACGACGCAGCTCGTCAGGCTGGCCCCTCGGGACTCGACGGCCTGCAGCAGCGTCTCCAGTTGGGGCTCCTTGAGGCGCTTCAAGAACGTGTTCCTGAGCAGGGCCTGCTGCGAGGGCGCCGAGGCCGCGGGGACGGCGGGGGACGCCGCGTGGTCGCCGCGCTGCAGCACGCGGGCATTCCACAGACGCTTAGCGAGCGTGTTTCTTCGGTTCCGGAACATGAACATGAAACACGATTCGGTCGGGCATTTGGCGGTGTCGCGGTCGCTGCAGGGGCAATGCCGGCAATTGGCTCGGAGCAACCAGGCGCCCGGACGGCCTAGGCCCAGACCCGACCCCTTGGGCCCAAGCCCCTTGACCAGCCGGCGGCCGGGGCCGTGCCCGGGGCCGTGTCCGGGGCCGAGGCAGGGGCCGGGCCCGCTGGGGCCGCCAGCCGCTCCTCGGGCCGAGGCAGGCGGAGCAGACGAGGCAGGCGAGGCCGGGGCGGAGCCGGGAGGAGCTGGGCAGGCCACTAGATCGGTGTTGCCGCCGTTGCCTCCGCAGCAGCTGTGTGTCGCGGCGGGCCGGGCCTGCCTGGCCGCAGTGTTGCCAACGTGTAACCCGCTCGGAACCTTCACCTTGAGGCGGCTCAGGCTCGTGCCCGCACTGGCGGCCTGGACAGCCTGGACCAGGGCCTTGCTGGCCTTGCTGGCCTTGCGCGCGGCGGTCTTCGCCTTGGCGGCGTTCCACGGCGTTCTGCGGATCCTCGGCCGGTGCAACGAGATCCTCGGGGTGGTTCCTCGTTTGGCGGGGACGGCTATCATTCGGAGTGCATGTGACACCGACGAGACGACCGCCACGAAGCTGGCGACGAACTTGGACGAGCTGGTGAGGGACTTCCCTCCACTGTAATCCTGGTTGCTGCGCTTGCCGCTCCTCGTCTTGCTGCACTCACGCACACTCGCTCACTCGTTGACACACTCACTCGCGGACACGCCGGACACGCGACAGGTGAGAGGCGTTTCGCCCACCCTTACGGCAGGTGCTTTTTTCGATCGGACGACGGGGCCGTGCCGCCCTGGCCGTGACTACACTGTACACTGCGTCGGTGCACTGCGTGGAACACTGGTGGAACACTGCGCGGCGTGCAGTGCCCGACTATTTTGGCGCCGGCCGTCTCGCTGGCGCCGCGCTACGCGCACGGCAACTCCACGCTCGACGCGAAGCGAACGCGACACGCCGGTCCCTCCTCTCGGCCAGGTCGAACTCAACTGAACCGCCGGGCCGGCGCGGCGCGGGACGCGACTCGCACGCCGCCGAGTGCCGGGGGCCGGGCCGGGCCGGGCGGGCCGTCGACTGGGCGGGCGGCGCGGCGGCCCGTCCGAGCCGAGCGGAGCCCAGCCGAGCGCAGCCGAGACGTGGCGGTCGAGGCCGAGCCGAGCCAACCCGAGCGCCGGATGGGATGGGCTGCGGTCGAGGTGCACAGCGCCTGGCTCCGCGCTGCTGGCGCGCTGCGCCCGCCGCCCGGCCCGGCATCCGAGTTGGAGGCTTTGCCGCTAGGGGCGCCACCGTCCCATTGTGCAGCCATGTGACTTTAAACCCCCTCCCCACCCGCGCCGCTCCCCGCTGCGCCGGCCGGGGGTGCGTCCGCCTGCAAGGCGGCTCGGCGCGCCCTGCACTCGCCCCGTCTCTCTCGCACGCGCTGCGGCGTGGCGGCGGCGGGCCGGCGGCGACGAGGACGGCGCCAACGGCCTTTCGGAAGGGGCGGGCGGCCGGAGCGGCGGTTGCACCGTGGCGCCACTCGGTGCACGGACGAAAGAAAGGGACGGCGCGAGTGTGTGCGTGTGTGAGGATGCGTGCGACGAGGACGGAGAGACTCGGCCCGTCGGCCCTGATTTCGGGAGAGGGATCATTTATACCGCAGGGAGGGGGATAATGTGGACGTAAAGACCGTCATAAGCAAGGAAGTCCGTGGGGCACCGTCCGGGCCGAGGGCCCGGCAGCCCGGCGCAACAAAAGGTGGGCACCGAGAGTCCGCGGCGCGGCGCCGTCGAGGGCATTCATTCTCGTCCGCCGGGCAGGGCAGACATCGTAGACAGTGCAGCCGCGCGTGCGTAATCCGCACACAATTAGACGCGTACAAGTGCATGACGCAGTACGGCGCTACGCGGCGCCCCGATGACGCGCTTCAAGTGCATGCCGCAGTATTTAAGGCCATTGTCGGCGTCGTTAAAGCCAACGGGGCTGCGCGCTGCGCCGCTGCGCCCTGGGAGCGCCCTGGGAGTGCGTGGAGTGGAGGCCGAATAATGTACTGGCAGTCTTCGGACCTTGAAGGCGGCCGGGCGATTCAGAAGAGTCGTTTCGTCGCTCTGTCTCTGTCCCACTCACGGAGCCCTCCATAAGGGTGCGAGAGAGGCAGGGCTGCGAACCGCTCTTCTGAATCGCTCGGCAGGCGAGGCGCCAGTAGCGCCAGTATGTATTCAAGTTAACGACTGTCCCTGAATCACACTCGCCTGCAGATGTCACCCTTTTGACGCGCGGCCCCCACAGCCCCCACTAACTGTCGCGACGACTTGTTATTTTTCCTGCGGGGAGCCCTTCGAAGTTTCCGAGTTGGCCAGGTCACTGCCCATTCGTCTCGCGAGTGCGAGCGAGAGGGAGCGAGGGGACAGCGCGCGACGTCGACGGGATCATCCATCAAACCCGCCCCCGATTTTTTCAAGCGGCGGGGAGGGGGGAATTGCCGAAAAATAGCCGTGTGTGCTTTATGGAAGGCCCCGGCTGCGGGTAGGAGCATGCTGGGGCAGGGATGGCAGGGCAGGCTCCCACAGCGTCCATGGCGTCCGTGGCGTCCATGGCGTATGGCCCGGCGCCAGCTTGCTCGTGCCGTGCCGCGCCTTCCCCGCGGTGCCCCGCTAGCGCCAGCGCCAGCAGCGCCAGCCAGCCCGGGCCAGGGCGGCCAGGGCCCGCCTGCCCCGTCGGAGCGCCGCCGCCGGCCGCCGCCGGCCCGGGCCAGCGCCAGTGCCGGGCGCCGCACACCCGGAGACGGAGACATCCCGCAGGCCGACCCCGCCTCGCCCCGCACCCAAGCCCGCCGCCACCCGCCGCCTGCCTCCAGGGCCAGGGGGCTCCAGGGCTCCAGGGCGGACGGACGGGACGGCGCGACCCGGAACGAAGGCGTCGGGGACGCCGAGACGCCCGGCCCGCCGCGTGGCGCCCCGACGCCGACGCCGCCCCGACGAGGCCGCCGACGAGGCCGCCGACGCGAAGCGCCTCCACTTATCGCCGCGGCCGTGACTCCGTGACGGGGAGCAACGACGCCGTGAACCGCGCCGACCTGGAAGGGAAGGCCGCGCTAAGACGAGCGGTGTTGGCTGAGGTCGGCACACGCGCACACTCACACCTGAACAGCCACACACACACATTCACACTCAGGCGCGCGCACGCACACACTAGGCGACGTCGCCTGTCGTGTAAATACCGCAAAGTTACTCCCGCTTCCGAACGATGATCCTTGTATACTTTAGTACGTGTTTGTGACTGGCTAGCTGAGGGTGGGGGCGGCGGGGTGGTGGGGGCTAGTATATTCGCTATACTGCTATACTGGGGCCGAAGGGGCGCGGGGAGCGTCGCGACGCCCAGCGGGGGAAGGGCCGGGCGATGCGGCGGCGCGGGGGATGTCTGCTGTGGCGTCGCTGCCGCTGGCGTCGTCTGCCGCTGCCTCTGGCGTCGTCTGCGCGCTCACACATCAGACGCTCGCCTGCCCGGCGCTGCCAGGCGCTGCCCTGCGATGGGCGGAGGGCGTCGCGGCGCGTCGCGGCGCGGCGTGGCGCGCTGGCGTCCGTCTGGAGCTGTCTGTCGCCGCAACAAACAACAAAAAAACGGGCGTCGCGTCGTCGCGGCGCGAAGAGGACGCCATTGGTGATCCATCCTGCAGAATAATTGGCGTCGCGACGTTTGCGGGGCGCGCCGGGCCAAAAGCAGCCAACGGCCGAGCAGGCGCCGCCGGCGCGGCCGCCGCCACCACCAGTGCGGCGCCGCGCTGACGCCCAACTAGTAGACTAACTATTACCCGACCCGGTGCCCCCGCGGCCCGCGGCCGCCCAGACCTGTCTAATGAGACGACGGGGGGCTTGGACTGGCTTGGACTTCCCCGCGCTCAGACTCGCCGGTGGCCTACCCGTGTGGTGGTGCAGGGGAAACTTTCCGCGGCACCGTCCGACGGCGAGGTCCCTCCCTCCCTGCCCGCGGCCCGCGGCATGGCAGCGCCCTCCCCGCCCCTCCCCGCCCCTCCCCGCCCCTCCCCGCCCCTCCCCGCCCCTCCCCGCCCCTCCCCGCCCCCTCCGGTTGGCGCGGCGCAGTGGCGGCCCGGACTGGGGCCATGGATGGCGGGACGGGACGTCGCGAGGCCGGCGCGCCGCGACGCCGCCAGGACGCCGCCAGGACGCCGCCCGGTCCCGGCAGGCGGGCGGCGGCGGCCAAGGCGGTCGGGCCGGCGGGGACGCCGCCGCGTCGGGACGCCGGCTCCGGGCGCCGGCATAGTCGTCAACAATCCTTGGCGCCTTCGAACAATACGCCAGCGCCGACCCGTTCATGAGCCACGCCGTCGCGGACGCCCGGAACGAGACCTCGGTCGCGACGCCGTCGTCCCATGCCCCCATTTGGCCCCGGCGTCTAGTGCCCCGGCGTCCCCGGCGGACTGCCACCATCACTGCTCCCGTTCCAGGGCGACCACGGCGGTGCCTCTTCCTGCAGACTGCAGCCCCCCTCCCAGACGGCGGCGTCAGCTGTCAGGTGGCGCAGTCACCTCGCCATGCTCATGCACCGCACCGCCGGACCGCCGCCAAGGCTGATCACCGCGCGTTTCCACTTTCGCCTTGTAAAGAGCGGCGCGGGCAACCTCTATGTACTGTACTCTGATACATCAAAATAAATTTCCTGAAAGTTTTGAAAGTTTTGACACTTCGGCCAGGTGCTCGGCTCCAGGAGGCCTTGCGTTGTCCCCCGCGCATCCTAGAGCTCAACAAGGACCCTTGCCGAATCCGGTGGTTACCGAGCGACAGCGCCAGCCGCGTGCGCACTCAGACGGTACTTGCAGTTTTATAAATAGACTCGATACGTCAAAGTATGCTCAAGACGTGTTTTGTTCCATGCGCTTTGTCTTTGTCCTTCCCCTCTCGCCGCAGCCGCACCCAGCGCCACCCCCAGCGCCATCTAGCGGTGGCGCCACGCACCGCGTCGCCGGCCAGCTTCTCGGCGCACCCGCTAGGTGGCGCGGGTCCTAGCGCGCCGCGTCTCTGTGACGTGATGACTTTCACTTCGAACGTCGGAGAGGCGTTTAGTGTAACATTACTCAGTCAATCGCGATATGACAATGTATGGCGAGGTGCTGAGTCAATCGACGATGGCATCATCAGGTGTTGGGGGAAGGGAGAGGGGGAGGGGGATACAGACCACCCTACCCTGAAGGTTCCGAACCGGTCATTCGGACGTTTGGCTTCGACGCGTGTAGCGCCTGTGAGGTAGGCCACCAATCCGTCGGGCAATACGCCGGTGTGGAGACGGTGGCCTACCTCGCCCCTGTGACAGTCAAGAACGGGGCCCACGACCTCCGTCGTCTACCACCGGTGTGATGCGGTTCAGATCAGCGACCTACCTCACAGTACCTCACACCTCTACCTCACAGGTCCGTCCCGATCTAGCGGGGCGCTAGACTGCCGTGCCAATCCCTATGGCGGTTAACTCAGCATTTCTTTAGCGGCTGACGCTGTGACGTCTGAACCCTGCCTCCTCGAACCTTGCTATTGCCGCCCTGGCCGCCACCACAACCACCCCTGCCGCGACCCCGCGAGTGATTCATTCATCTTTCCCCGTAAAGACTGATTTCGCGGCGCCCTGGCGCCTTCAAACCCTCGGCGGCGCGCTGCCATGACGGCACAACTTTTAATCGGTGCCTCTCGAGACTTATCTGTCTCCTTGCCGATTGTCCTGGCGGCCGCGCCGCAAGGACCGCAAGGCAGTGCTCAGTGCCGGGGAGGTCATCGCAGCCATCCAGCCACCGCGGCGGGATTAGTGGAGGGATCTTTATAGGTTTGCGATCGCAGCGCCCACAAGGTAATGAATGACGCGTGTATCGACGAACCGACGAATCGGCGCCACTGGCGCACGCAATCAATCTCTGACGCCGCGCCCGCTTTTCCTGTTGCTCCTCCCCAAGGTGCTCCTCGGCGCCGCGATGAGCGCCGCCCTGCACGTGACGGTCGGCCCGGAGGCCAAGACCCACCCCGGCGTGTCCCTGGGCCGCTTCATCCTGGACAGCCTCAAGAAGCACGCCAACCTCAGCATTCCCGCGCAGGTGCGGTCACGTCGGGACAAAAACATGGCCCCTCGGGTGCTGCTGTACTTATCTTCCCCAAGAGCGGGTCCGGCCGCGGGTCCGGCGGGTTCAGAGACGCGATCAGAGGGGAAGGCAAAGTACAGCAAAATGCGCCTTCGTACTTAGGGGCAAAGTGCGACCTTTTGCCTGCTTTTCAAAAGGCTTCACAGCCGGAAGGGGTAGGCAACAACTCCCCCTCCCCAGGCGCGGTTTACGGAGCCTCCGACAGGGGTGCGATTGCGTATATTTTGCACACCTGTGTGTGATGTGTGATGCTGGTCGCCTGTCCCCAGGCGTGTAGGGAATCTCACTGGGGGGCGTTTGCCCCTTCGCCCCCCACCCCCTTGAACCGCGCCTGCTCTTCCCGCCCCGAACTGACCTGACCGCCTGGCGCCTGGCAGGTGGACTCGGAGTCCGGGCGCGCGATCTCGTTCCCGGACATCCTCCGGATGTCGGTGCAGGCCGCGGAGGGGTGGCGCGCCCTGGGCCTCACCAGCGGCGACACACTGGCGCTCTTCTCCTTCAACAACCACTTCGTGTACCCGCTGTTCTTCGGCGCCATCCTGGAGGGCATCACCGTCGCCATCGTCAAGCACTCCACGGCGGGTGAGTATGCTGCTTGGCGGCACGGACGGATCCAGAGACGGGTTCAGGGGGAGGAATATCGCAAAAGTTGCCTGTCTACAGGGGTAGTGTGACTTGTTGTCAAACCGGAGTCTGGCCGCCCTCATCGCCCGCCCCTTGGATCCTCCCCCAGTGGTCCGCGTGCATTGTAAAACTTTGCCTGCAGCCGAGCTGCGCGCCTTCCTGGACATGTGCGCGCCCAAGGCGGTGCTGACCGAGGCCGAAAGCCTGGACTTGGTGCTGTCGGTGCTCACCCCCGCCGAGCGCCACGTCGTCGTCACGGCCGAGAGCGTCGCCACCACCGCCACCTCCGACGCCGAGGTGCTGTCCGCCACAGACTTGTTCGCCAAGGGCGGCGCGGCTCGGCCGGAAAGCTACCAGCCCGGTGACGTCACCGACGTCCGGGAGCACATCGCCTTCCTGGCCTTCTCGTCCGGCACCAGCGGGCTGCCCAAGATGGTCAAGCTGAGCGACTACTCCTTCACCATGACCCTGCAGTTCATGTGAGTCCACTCCGCACTGGACAAGGACTTCCGCGGCAGTTTTGTCCCACGAGACGCTAGTGCCACTGAAGGGTTGCCAACTTCGGTTAGGAAATGCCTTGGCTTTGGTCCCTAAAATTTTCCTGTCGGGCGGGAAACGATGACGACCCCGATGACGCCCGGTGCTTGGTGGTGCCCTGCAGGAGCGACTGGCACGTGCGGGCCGGCGACCGCGTGTTCATCACCTCCCAGCTGGCGTGGATCACGGGGCTGGCGTTCACGCTCGTGAGCACGGTGCTGGGCGCGACGCGCGTCTACGGCTGGTACGCCGCGGACGCCGGCGAGGTGGACTGGCTGGGCATCCTGAAGCGCCACCAGGTGGGCATGGTACAGTGCGCGTTGTCCATTGAATGAAGCGTCGGACTGACGACGGTGGCGGCCTTTCCTAGATCACCACGTGGTTCCTGGCGCCGCCGGGGCTGACGCTGCTGGCCACGGAGGCGCGCGCGCGCAGGGCCCGCGGCGCCGAGGTGGACATGTCCAGCGTGCGCGTGCTGCTCACGTCCGGCACGGGGCTGCACGCCGACGCGCAGCGCCACTTCGCCGAGGTCCTGGACACGGACGTGCTGCAGTTCTACGGCATCACCGAGGTCGGCATCATCGCCGCGGACGCGCCCCCCGCCAAGCCCGGCTCCGTGGGCCGCCTCACGCCCGGACTGCAGCTCAGGGTGAGAGAGACAGGGGCGCGAGATCAGTTGTGGTCTAGCCTTTCAAGTCAAGTCAAGTTACGGGGGCGAGATGTATCGCCTACTTACAAGGCGGCTTCACCGTCTTCTGTTTTAATTGTCTTCGTTCTGCTCTTTTGCGTGGCCTTTCCTCGACGGCCACCCTCCCAGCTCGTGGACGTGGAGTCCGGCCTGGACGTGGTCGGCGCCGGCGTGCTGGGGGAGGTCCGCGCCATGGGCCCGGCCTACATGTCGGGGTACCAGGGCAGCGCCGCGGAGACGGGCCAGGTCCTCGACGACCACGGCTTCTTCCGTACCGGGGACCTCGCCTACCAGGACCAGGACGGCTACCTGTACCTCGTCGACAGGATCAAGGACTCGCTCAAGTTCGACGGCGTGCCCGTGAGTTTATTTTTCGAGTCCTCGCTCTCATTTCGACTTCTAGTGCCTGCCCTCCACGTCACGGATGTGAAGCCCTAACTTGAAGTCCGTCGGCAGATTGCCCCCGCTGAGGTGGAAGCCGTGTTGCTGTCGCACTCCGCCGTGAAGGAGGCCTGTGTGGTGGGCAGGCCGCACCCTCGCCTGGTCGACGTCCCCACCGCCTTCGTCGTCAAGCAGTCCGGCTCGGAGGACGTCACCGAAACCCAGCTGCAGGACCTTGTAAAGAGTAAGGGCTGACCAATCCTTCGTGTTCTTGTCAGACGCTTTCTTTTCCCAAGAAAAAAGTTCACGATTTTGTCGTCTTTTGCTTTAGATCGTCTGTCTTATGAGAAGTGGCTCCGAGGTGGCGTGTTCTTCCGCGATGAAATCCCAAAGACCTCCAACGGGAAGCTCGATAGAAGAAATCTGAAAGAATGGCTGAGAACTTTGCCTCCGCCAGACTGCGACATGTGAACACATGCCCAATGTTTTTTCCGACAACAAAAATTGTAACATCTTGAAAGGAACATGGCTTGTAAAATGTATTTTGTGGTACCTCTCATGAAAGCAGCAAATAAACGTGTTAGATCTTTAGCCGGCCGCAAACCCTTCACAAACCTCCTACGCGCCAACGTTGAAAGGGGCGCCTCTAGCTTGAGGCGAGGCTACCTGGCCGAGCGGACATCCATATGAGAAACTGACGCTGACGGTGCGGCAGTAAAGTGCGTCTGCGTCAGAGTAGCAATTTACTCATATCGCCGCGGCATCAGAGAAGGATTTGAAAGGTGACTAGACTCGAAGTACGCGAGCACCTGAATATGATGCAGCAACATGTGACAGGCCTCCTATCCACCGGAACGCGTTGTAGGGAGTGGAGGTAGAGCGAGCGGTAGCGCCCTCCGACGGGAAGCCCCCGCAACACTGCGGCTGCAAACAACAACAGCAACAGATGGCGACTGCAGCCGAAAATGTCAGTCCAAAATTTGGGTGAGAACAGGGATGTTGAGAAGTACGAGCTCGGCCTGGCCGCTGACACTACCGCTTCTAGATGCATGTTAATTTGGCGGTGAGAGTGTGCTTTGCGACTCGGGTTAACCACTCGGTGGAAACAAGGACGGAGGCTCAAAGAAACGGCGCAGATGGTGCAAGTGGTGCAAGCACACATGCAAGCAGAAGGAAAATGTTCCCTTCCTCCCCTCATCCCCTCCTCCCCCTCCTCACGTCCCCTCCCGTCCCCCTCCCCTCCCCCGCTGTCCTGCGCGTTGAAAAGGCCCCAGGCCAAGGATCATGAGAAACCGTTCTGCATCATGTATTATTGTTTTGGATTAAAAATGTTGCCGAAATCGTGATAATCAGACAAGAGCAGGTGCTTCGATTAAGATCTTTGTTTTCCCCATCGAAACAGTTGGTATACTCATGGCTGCAGGCTGCAGGTTGTTTTCGGTGGTGTTATGGTGACCGATACTGAGGTGCGCTGGAAACATAACCTTAACGTGTGTCAACAAGTAGCTGAACTAGTACGCTATTGTTCTTTTTGTATCCCGTTGTTTCTTTCGTGTTTGCTTTGAGGTGTCTACCACACTGTGGTGTTTGTATTTCTGTTTCATATTCCTCTAATGCTCGGTTTTCTCCGTCATAGGAGATTTCAAGATGGACGGAAATATGATGACCAAATTTAAATTAAAGTGTGTTCTGCTTGAGTTGTTGAAAAGTGACTACAAAGTGACGGATGACACTATTCTTGAAAAGCTCATTTCACACCTTTCTGACAAAGCAACGGGTGAGTGACGTTTGGTTCTATACAGTATGTTGTTTCAGTTTCAACCTTGACGTTTCAAGTTGTTTTGCAGGATCACAAATAATAGATGTACCACTATGTGTTGCCTGGTCTCGTTCAGTTGTATTGTCATGGAACCAAGGACAGACGTCTTCATCAGTCGTGTGCTTTGCTCTTCGTCTTTCTGCAATCATTGTGGAAGATGAAAACAATTTTATCAGCATACAGAAGGCTGTTAGTCCAGAAATTCCAGGTATAGAGTGCCTGGGACATAGTAACACAACCTGCGTGTTTCTGCAGCTGCTTAGGGACGTTTGTTTGAGTACAACTAAGAGTGCAGCAAACTTTTCAGTGAAGTGCGCACTCGTACAGTTTCTTTCATCTTTGCTTAAGCACTCGTCTGGACGGCAATGGCTAATGAATACAGGTAATGCTTCAATCTGATCACTCAGCAGCCATTTTAACTCTTTTGAAAGTGGAATATTGTCTAACGTTAATACTTTAATTTCATTACGTTTTTTAGGACTATGGAAAGAAGTTCATGAAATGACTCTGGGTGATTCCAGTATCTACGTTGTTCGTGAAGGCAGAAGATTTTTGTCAGCACTTCTAAATAATATGGTTTCTCTACAAGAAGCAGAACCAGTCTTAGCGTGTATTTTAGAACCATTTCTATCTATGACGTTGGTTCCAGAACTTCCCTTGGACACTGTATGTTCTTATGATGTTTGTGTGTGTATTGAAAACATATTTGTTTCAGATTGATCATTTCATATTTTTATTACTCTATTTCTTTTCAGCCAAGAGTGATTGCAAGTTTGTACCTCATATCAGACATTTTGGACAGCTCATTTCTGACTTCAGATCCCAAAACCAATGTAATTAAATCACTTGTTGCTCAGTTAGTTTGTAACCCAACATCTACAATAATTCCTAAATGTCTTGAAGTTCTTAAACAAACAAAAAGTGAAGAGATGGAAGAGCTTCTAGCTAAAATAGCTGTCTTTATGTACATTCTGGACACTGTTAAAGATGGGTAAGGTGTACAAAATTTTTGTCAACATTTTTTTAAAATTTTTGTGCTTGAATTTTTTTACTAGTGTTTTTTTTTTTACCCTTTTTTTTCAGTCAAAAGCATCAACCACTTGAGATTAAGGCAATATGTATAAAAATTTTGGATGTGTTCAGTGAACTCATCAATAAAGGAAGTGTTGAGAATGTCTTGAAACTTTGTGTCTTATGTCATAATCAGTGGGCATATGTAGCCAGGATACAAAGAAAAGATGAAGATACGACTTGCGTCCTTGCAGGAGATGCAAAACAGTATCGGTTTGAAGACCAGCTTCTCTGTCTGCAGGTTTGTATCTGACAACACTTATTTTTAAAATCACTTTGTTGTTTTAGATTTTTGTGGATGTTACTGTTGGAAGTAGGAGGTAGGTTGCACCTAGATGTAACCGGTTCGAAGTAGGTTGAACCAAACCAATCCGGTTGCAAGTGGAGCCACTTACTTGTACCCTGTAATTGGCCAGCTATAACTAGGTTGGACCAGTACATTTCTTTTATTTGCACTTGTAACCAATCAGAGTCGGTTGGAAGTGGCTCCACTTGTAACCGGATTGGTTTGGTTCAACCTACTTCGAGCTGGTTACATCTAGGTGCAACCTACCTCCTATTTCCAACAGTAACATGGATTAATCCTGTATACTGATTTTCCATAATTGATCATCTTAAACATTTGACTCCTAAAAGGATCAGAATAGGCTTTTTTTTATCCTCTAGGTCTTGTTTCTGTGAATTATAATACAATTCTAACTGTGTTAATTATTGAAGTGGTATTTAATTACTGCAATGGTCTGAAGATAAGCCTCATCCGCATATAAGCCTGGGGCTTATATTTGGGCTATTACGGTAGAATGTTGTGTATGCATTGATTTTAATTCTAATCTTGAATATTTCAGCTTTCGCCAATATTTTGCTGCCTTTTAACTGTGCCGTCTGAAAATGACAAGGAGCTGTACCTTTATAAACTCTTTTATAAAATATGTTTTGAGTCTCAACGTTTAGTATTTTCTTTCCGGAATATGGTTCTGAAACTAGAACAGTTACATATCTGGTTAGCGATGAGTGCAAGATATGTTATGCATCTTGCCCATGTTTTATCGCTGGTGAGATTTTTTTAAAATGTCTGGGCTAATGTGTAGGATGAACTTTGTTCATTTTTGTTTCTGTCCTATATGTTTTGCTTTACTCATTCGACAGAAAGCTTCTATTAATATGTAATTTGTGGCTTGTCAAATGCTTTTCTATCTTTCAGATATTTTTTTGTCCCTGAGATTTGAAACAATCTTCATTTCACTTCTATTGCTCCCTGCCATTTTCAGTTTGATCCAGCATTATTGTGCGTGTCCTGTCCACTCATTTTTGATCTACCAATCTGTGTGTGTGTGTGTGTGTGTTTGTGTCTGTGTTGGTGTATTTTTGAGGCAAAAGGAAGATCTCAAACATACTTGTCCTTAATCTTTCTTGTCGGCTTAAAGTGTTTTTGGTCTCGGCCTGTGGTCGCTGTTTATAGCTAGCACTGGTGGGCTGCAGGCAACAATTTTGCAGTTTTGTTTTTTGTTTTCCTCTTTACTGTTAGAATATCAAATGACAGGAAATGTGTCTAGATTTTTCAAATTGATATTTTTACACAGATGCTCCCAATGTGTGTGGGTATTTCTGGGGGACCAGAATGTGACATTTTGGCAGAAATTACAGAAGCTTTCATTCAAAAACTGACTTCACTCATACACAATCAAGTTCACCGTATGGTGTATAATTTTCGAAGTTGCATTATTGAAAGAGGTTCTAATGAACGACTTGCTTTGCTTGGTGTGTCTTCTATCAGATCGCTGAAACATGTGTTGAGCAGGGTAAGCCATACTTTAAATCCTTTTGCTTGCTTTCTTATTCTTCATATATAAAGATGCTCAACTTCAATGCAGAGTTTCCAGCTAGCAGAACCTTATCTTAATTTTGCATCTTTTAACTTCATTTGGGCTTTATGCATGTGAAACGCATCCTTCGTTCATGCTTGAATGTTGCTCCATTTTTCATTCCTTACTTGTAGGAAGTTGTTGTAGCTTTTTTGGTTGAGGTGTAATCTGTGGTGTTATCAGCATGTTAGGGTAAGGTATTATAAGAGCTTATGGTAGGACCATACTCATCCATTTATTTGTATTGTGACTCTCAAAGATAATGGATATGCAGGAAATAATTTTGATGTTATTGTTAGATGGCACTACACAACTTTTATATTAGGGTACATGCAATTTAGTTTATGCTTCATTTTATTTCTGTTTGCCATTCACTTTCTGATAGTTTAAGTTGTTTTATTTTTCCATTTATTTTTTAAAGAATTATTTTTGCATGACCTTATATTGCACTAATTTTTGGAATGAGCATGCATACCGCATGTGGGTAACGTCATCTGCTATTATTTTAAATTATTTTGTTGATTTTTTTTAAAGCATGCATTTGTTTTCTAAATATATATTATATCTTGCTTCAGACAACTTGTCACATTTGTAATATCTTATTTGTTCTGCAGGAGCGGGCTGTCTTGGTTTTTCAGTCATTCATATATGTTTTGAAACATTTTGTTCTTTGTGCTGAATCTGAAACCAAGCAAGGCGGATGGGGTGGGGAATTTCGTCAATCACATCACTCAACATTGCTTGTCGCAATTTTGGATGGTTTAGCTAATCTGGTTCGCACCCATCGTATTACTTGGAGAGAAAGTGTTGAGTCGCTGTGCTTGCTCACCCTTGCTCAGGAGCTCCTTGATAATCCAGCATTTTCCAGTAAAGTTGGGGTAAGTAGAACTTTCTTAACTCTTGCTTTTACTTACACATACTTACTGATTCTTATAAATCTCACATGTCTTTCAGCTGGTCGTTCAAGCATTGCATCTCATTCAGCTGTGTATAGAAAACTTCATGCCCCCAAATTTGGCACTTTTAACAAATTCTTTGAGCGGAACAAGTTTTGATCAACTTGGAACACTTATTTTCAAGCGTTTGCATGATCCACATTGGGAAGTTCGTGACAGCTCATTAGAAGTTTTAATCACTCTTGCTACTATTTCAAACTCTAGTATGTATCCCTATGAAGATTTATGAATGAATTTGTGTGTTCCAGTTAAAACTGCATAAATTCTTTTATTTTTCTCCTAGAGTACCCACTATTCCAAGATCTTATCCTGGATAATAAATTGTGCGAGGTTGTTGTTCACCTGGCACTTAATGATGCAGAGAGCTATGTATGTGCTTCAGCTACAAAGTGCCTTACAGCCATGGTTCGGGTTGATCGTCTGTGGAATGAAGAATTAATGGACAAAGATTTGGTGGTGAGTGGTCGTAAAATTTCTTAAGAAGCTATTTCAACTGAGAGTCCAATTGTAATCATGTTGTCTTACTTGATCTTTCAGAATAAAATGATTGGGTTGCTGAATGGTGAGAGTGAAGGGGTCTTAAGAAGAGAAGCCTCCCTACTTCTTTGTGAAGTTTTCAAACATCGCAAAGTTCAGTAAGTTCAGTTACTTGGTAAAACCATGTGTTATTGAAAAGTGCGATAGAAATGTAATTTTATTCATTACTGAATATTTTCAGGTCAGATCTTCTGCACAAAATGTGTATCACAATGGCAAATGTAGTTCTGTCAGATCTTCACTGGGAAGTAAAAGTCAATGCTTTGAACTTTTGGCAGCTTATTATAGACCATCGTATGAATGACCAAGGAATGATTGATGGAGTTTTTCCCCAAGTCACATTTTCCAAAGAACACAGAAAGATCATTAACCTTACTCCAGCTGCTATTCAGGAACGCCTCAGAAAGGTTCTGGTTGAGCTGTCTCAAAATGGATGCCTTCATGTATGTGGTTTACTTCATCATTCTGTTTGATGTTATGGATGTTTTGGAATATTGTTTGACTTATGCTATTGTTTTGGTTACAGGTCTTGCTGGAAACTATACAAAAGGATGAGGATTTGGAAGTTGTCAAGAAAGCGTCCCAGATTATCACATCCCTTTCGGGGGTATTAGAGAGACATGGTCTTTTGGAACCAAAGAATGTTTCAGCACCGTCCCCTACTTCATCAGAAGCACCACCAGCCTCCAACCTCAACCACTTGTCCTCTCCATCAAACCAATCAAATTACACCTCAGAATCTCCTAATTCTCTCTGTGAGAAGGATATTACCAGCACAAGCATTGGTGATTTTAATACAAACTTTGATTCAGCAAAGTCCCAAGACTTTAACTCATTTCAGAACAGTGATAAGCCTGCAAAGTCTATTTTAGATTTAGATCCCCAAGGGATGGGTTTTGCAGTGCTTGATGAAGAACTCGGATTGGACTTTCCCAACATGACGCCTGCAGACCAGGATCAAGTCATTGATTCCATCCTTAATGATAGAGACATCAACTTGTTAGCAAAGGTGTATTTAGGAACTGGAACTGAGTTACCTGGCCGTCAAGGTCCTGAAACCAAAATATCAAAGCCCATTCGGCCTTTGGTCATATTGAACTCTGATGAATTTTTACGTCAGCTTGTCACATTGCAAGTTGATGAGTTGGTGAAGGAGAGAACTCGCTGGATTAAAGATACAGAGGGCAATCTCGAAACACTTTTGGATGATATGTTAATAGCAAGAGCCATTCCATGTGAAGGTGAAGACGACTGCAATGCCATGGACTGTTATTAATTAGTTATTAGGTAAGCATCTTCCTTTGTTCTAGCTTTATGTTGAGTATACTATTTTGAGTGTTCTGTGCCTATTTGTTAATAAATAATGTGTTTTGTAAAGTTTATGTTTATCTTCAATAATTAATGTGCACAGGGAGAGGGATGCACTGTGTTAGGCATGCCTGCGTTTTCCATTTGGTCCCCTTTTGTTTTATTGTTTAATTGCTCTTGTTTTGCCCTTTACTCATATTCTCTTAGTTTGAGAGGCTCCCGTCAGATACTGTTACCACAAAATCGAACCCTCTCTTCATTAGTTTGTCATGTCTAGACCGTGTCCCGTCGTTGGGGTGCCGAGTCGCTCTGATGAACATCATTGATCTGATTTGGCGGCGAGTTCCCCCAGACCCCCTCCCACTTTTTCCTTTTCAGAGTGGGATCTGTGGCCTCTGTACTGGAGGATGTCAATATAGACTGTGGGCCTGACACCTAGGAGAGTCAGGGAAGAATTTTTAACATAAGAAAATTGTTATGAAAAAACATGTAAAAATTATTTTGATGTCTTTCATTTCATAGTTTAGTAATAGTGTTGTTTGCTTTGTACAGCTTTTATGTTGAAAAGTACAAAGAAATGTGGCCCGTACCATATTGACACAATTAATAGAAAATAAAAGTCTTGTTTTTTAAAAAATGCAATTGATGCTTTGTTTTGATGACACTACTTACCAGTTCTAAATAAGATGCTATTTATTTTATTTCAGTCCTACAGATATATGTTTTATTTCTCATAAGAAAATCTGATAGAATCAAATACTTTATAAAATGCACACATGGACATGCAAGTACTGTACACTCTCACATGACAGGAAGTCTCCTCCCTTCTAGAGTTATGTTCATTATTTAATTTTACAATATTTAATAATAACAATACACAGGAACCCATCAACAGGATTAGAGTGGCGTAACATTTTTTAATGCGAGAATTGCATTGACATCATACTATACATGGAATAGGTAGCTGCGGTGGACTGGAGCCATGGGAGGAGAGTGAGAGAGACGGGCAGTAGGGGGCGTCATACTCAGGCGACCTTCGATTTCGGCTTGCGGGTGTGACTCAAAAGTTTCGTTTTTTAGTGCTGAGTTCAGATTCGTGTCGGGTTTTGCGATCGGACTGCGTCTTGATCACCCTACCCGACGATTTATGTCAAAAAGCGGCGAAAATTCGTTTTTTCCCATTGTTTTGCCCCCTTGAGTTCGGGGTGGCGGTTTCTCGACTGGATTGCCTTCACTCACTCTAGACACGACTTTTCCAACCACCAGAGCCCATGTGAGCCACCCCATTTGGAGCCTAGGCCTCAAAACATGCCAAAATTTGGTGAAAAAATGAAAATTTTCACCGTTTTTTCGACATTTTTGGGCCATTTTGAGCCCCACATCGCCCCCTTAGGTGACCTGTATGGATAAAAAGGAGGAAGGGTGTGTAGGAAAGGCAGCCCAGCGCCGGGGCATCGACCGGGGTGTCGTGGAGGGCGGCATTGAGTCGGCAAAATACAGGATTTTATCGAAAAATTGAAGAAAATGGGGGGTCTTGGGAGGAGCCAATGCTGCGGGTCTGGCGGAGTGCTCTCAACCAGAAGCTTTGTATTTCGATGGCCGAAAAAACAGCGTTAAACGCAGCTAACGGGTGGGGTGACGGGCGGGCGGGGCTCGACGTGCAGGCACCTCCTCGTGGTGGGCCCTGGGTAGGCACAGCAAACTTGCTTAACGAGCTCAAACCTGCACATTCGCTGCCACAGCTACAGCGGCTGCATAGACCATTTTCTTCAATTTTTCGAAAAAATCCTGTATTTTGCCGACTCAACGCCGCCCTCCACGACACCCCGGTCGATGCCCCGGCGCTGGGCTGCCTTCCCTACACACCCTTCCTCCTTTTTATCCATACAGGTCACCTAAGGGGGCGATGTGGGGCTCAAAATGGCCCAAAAATGTCGAAAAAACGGTGAAAATTTTCATTTTTTCACCAAATTTTGGCATGTTTTGAGGCCTAGGCTCCAAATGGGGTGGCTCACATGGGCTCTGGTGGTTGGAAAAGTCGTGTCTAGAGTGAGTGAAGGCAATCCAGTCGAGAAACCGCCACCCCGAACTCAAGGGGGCAAAACAATGGGAAAAAACGAATTTTCGCCGCTTTTTGACATAAATCGTCGGGTAGGGTGATCAAGACGCAGTCCGATCGCAAAACCCGACACGAATCTGAACTCAGCACTAAAAAACGAAACTTTTGAGTCACACCCGCAAGCCGAAATCGAAGGTCGCCTGAGTATGACGCCCCCTAACGGGCAGGATGGCCTCCCCTCTCTCTGTCTCGAGCTGGAGCCTGGCGCCCCGCGCCAACCAATCATGGCCAATCACACGCCCCCGTTTCAAATGGCCCGCCGAACGGGAGGCCCAGGCACTCCATTGGCTAGCGGCCAGTAGCGGCCAGCCAGTCCCCCTCGATTCCGGCCAATCGTTTAGACTCCCCGTTAATTAACATACATCTCTGCCGCTGAAACGGAATCTCTATCGACAGCACTCTCACTGACTGCATCGATCTTGGCCATCTCGGCGCAACCGCCAACTGACTCCTATGTCGGCCCGCAGCTTGGTTTCAACCCCACGAGACTGACAGCGCCCCCCACCCCCTCCCCCCTCATACACTCACTCACATTCACACAAAACTTAACCACATAGAAGCACGCAATACTGTACAAATGCGCGCCTTCGAAATGCCATGCCGGCAACGGCTGAGAGGGCTGCCGCCGGCCGGACACCTTAGCAACTACTTATTGGTCCTTGGAACAATACTAGGAACAATCTAACCGAATAAATGTCTTTGTATGGGCCTGGGCCTGGCCCCACTGTGCGCGGCACGGTCCGCGTTTTGTATCATTGGAATAAAAGTGGTAAGAACCGGTTGAATGAAGCAGCAATTCGTCGGGCTCCGACGGCGTGGCTGCGGGTTGTGGGCGACAGCGTGGAAGTCTTCAGCAAGCACTTTCCCCAACACTGTGAGCACCGAGCACCAGTTAATGTGTCCTCTCACTAGCAACCGCTGCTCGACTCGGCCCTGCCCGACGACGGCGCCTGGTTCGCACCTCGTTGCGGCCGCATTTGACGACTCTGAGGAGATTCTCGCACTACGTCCACTTTCGCCCTCCAGGGTAGGAGGGAACCGTGGGGTGGGAACGGGCCGGCGTCTTGGTGACGTCATGGTGACGCCGTGGCCTCTTGGTGACGTCCAAGCGGCATCTTGCTGCCGTCTTTGGTGGCGTCCTGGTGACGCCGTGGCCTCTTGGTGACGTCCAAGCGGCATCTTGCTGCCGTCTTTGGTGGCGTCCTGGTGACGCCGTGGCCTCTTGGTGACGTCCAAGCGGCATCTTGCTGCCGTCTTTGGTGGCGTCCTGGTGACGCCGTGGCCTCTTGGTGACGTCCTGGCGGCGTCTTGGTGACGTCGTGATGACGCCTCGTCGTTGAAGTGCACCATGGTGTGGAAGGGCCCCGCGGGGCTCCAGCGCGTCGCTTGGACACGGCCCCCTTCAGCAAGGACAGGAGTCGTCCTTCTGCTGGATGGGGCTGCGGTCCAAGCGCCACCTGCGGCCAGCAGCAACAACAACGACAACAACATCCATTAAGTGATACCGTTCCATCCAGGCAGGTGGACAGTAGAACAGAGAAGTCCCTAGGCAGGCCACCATGACGAGGCCGAAGCACACTGTCAACTGAAGTGTGTACTGTGGGCTGAGTACTCTCTTTAGTTTACAGTGTGGTGTACTTTGGTACTCACGCGGAGCGCGGGGCCGTTCGCTATGCCGTCTCCATGAGGTTGCTGTTGTGATGGCGGCCCAGGGGGTTGTGGTGGTGGTGGTGCTGGTGGTGGTGGCCCAGCCGCTGCGCCAGCTCGTGCATCACGTCCCGGAAGATGACCGAGTCCACGTTCTCGCCCAGCATGTAGAGGAGGAACCAGTCGCCCATCTTGGAGCGGCGCACGATGGCGTCGATGTCGTCCCGGTTGATGAGGCGGTAGCGCATCCGCAGCAGGTACACCTGCAAGACGAGGACGAAGGGGGAAAGTAGCACTTTTTGCCGTCTAAAAGGGGCAAAGTGTTCTTTTCTCGCCAATAAGAGCAGCGTGCCGAAACTCACCCGTATCCTGGGGCTGGAGATGATGAGCAGCCGGTAGAGCACCGTGAGGAAGCTGAGGGCGCCCAGGATGAGGAACCAGAACCACAGGAACACGTAGATCTTCTCGTTGACCACGTTGAGCGGCAGGATGCAGACGGCGTCGTGGCGCTCCACCTCGCCGGACACGCCGAACTTGTGGAAGGTGCACTTGGTCATGCGGGGGAAGACGAAGACCAGCGGGTCGATGCGCGTCTCCTCGTCGCTCTCCATGAACTCGATGACCTCGATGCCGAAGCGCAGGAAGGCGCCGTCGAAGAACTTGTCCATGAGGAACATCTGGCCTGCAACACGCACAGGGCTTGCTTGAGCACGGTTTGAACGGCAGGCATGCGCTTTCCGGTGCCGTGGCGGCGCGTTAGCAGGACTTTTGCAGGGCGAATGAAGTGCTCTTTGCCGACTCAGGGCAAAGTGTTGATGTTTGCCTACCTTCCGGGCGGCATGTGTATCTAACGCCCCACCACCACCACACCCCTCTGGATCCGCGCCTGGCGTGGAGGCGGCCCGGCGTGGCGAAGCCACTGCCTTGGCTGCACCCCGCCGCCGCCGCCGCCGCCGCCACCGCGCCGCGCGGACATGTGTCGCCGCTTTGTATCTGTCACGGCGCCAAAGTTATAGACTCGCGAAACGCCGCTTCGGTCGCTTCGGCCCTCGCGGCGTGGCGGCGGAGGCCCGGCTTTGTTTTGATTTCGAGGAATCTGCCGCCGCGCCTCGTCGCGCCTCGCTCCGCCCGGCTAGGCCGGCCAGGCCCGGCGGCGCGCCGAATCCCTGCTCCTCTTGGCCGACACCACCGCGTCGTGGATCGTGGACCGCGGCGCGGTTTCGCGGACGCGGCTGACTTAATCGTTTCCGAGTGTCCGCGTCACGGGTGTCGTGTTTTGGGGCCCATTCTTCTTGTATTCACCGTCCACCCGTTTCAAGAGCATGTTTTCGGTGGACGGTGGACAGTGTCGGGGAACCTAGCCCGCGGCCGCGGCTCTGGTTCGGCAGTCTGTTTCCCGCCAGACGCGTGCGCCACAGCGCGGCAGCCCCGCGGCCTCCACCCTCCGCGCTCCGCCAGCAGGCCACGGAGTAACAAACGACGCTGGCGGCCAGGGCAGGGGTTCAGGACAGAGCCCTCGTCGGCCTGTCTCTCTCGCACCCTCGCGGGACGCCCCGTGAGTGCGAGAAAGAGAGGCCTTGGAGTCAGTCTGCCGGCGCGCGGTTCAAACACCCCGCGGAGGGCAGGTCGACGAGGACGGCGACGGTGCGTTTGATCGGGGACACAATAATGCCGTCAGGCCGGCCTGTTTACAGTGAAGGCGCGGATTTATCGCGAAGCGCTTCTTTGCGTCTTTGCCGCGGAACAATCCAACACGTGTAAAGCAGCGGGGGGACGCTGATTCCCAGCAGCGCTCTCGTCGCTCTGTCTCTCTCGCACCTGCAGGGTTCGCCCGACGAGTGCGAGAGAGACAGCGCGACGACTCTCGGAGTCAGTCTGCAGGCCGTGGCGGAGCGCGACGCCGCCGTCGGCGAAACGCGAAATTTAGCAGACGCGTAGCGCCGCGGGGCCGGCGCCCTCGCCCTGGACCGTCTCAGAGGCGACAGCGCTGGCGTGGGTTCGCGCCCGCCCCGCGGCCGGGGCGGAAAACCGACAAAACCGACCGCCGACGTGTACCCGTACTCACCGACCACGTTGCCGAAGGCGAGCAGCTCGCAGAGGTAGTACCGGTACGCCCACCAGTTGTGGTAGCGCAGGTTCTCCCACAGGTAGTCCAGCAGCAGCTTCTTCTTCTGCTTCTTCTCCACCTCGGAGCAGATGCCCACGTCCAGGTCCATCATGAGCGCGTGGATCTTGCCGCCCTCCCAGTTCTTCCACAGCCACCGCGGCGTGTAGAAGAGGATGGCCTGCAACAAGCGTGGCAGCGCGCCGTGTGAGGAGGTTGGTTCCGGACAGTGTCCCTCTCTCTCGCACTCATGGCACGCTCCACTGGGGCGCGAGGGTGCGAGAGAGAGGGCCTTTGCCTTTGAGAGGACGGCGCCGTCATTCCCGCGCGACGTCTGCATTTGCAACGCCGCCTTTATTGCGTCCAGCCTTTGATCCCGGCACTAGAAAAGCCCCCCCCCCCCTCTCCCGCAAATTCAAGAGCCGCACGCGCGCGCCGTCTGATTGGGCGGTGCGCGGTCCGCTCGGCCGAGGGGTCTGGGTACATTAGCGCACTCAGAACGGACCGTAAATATGAAACGAGTCCATAAAGGCCGAGCGGCCGAGCGGCCGAGCAGCGCGTGGAGCAGCGCGTGGAGCAGCACAGGCTGACTGACCTCGCCGCGGCGCCCCTTTGCAACATGGTGCACTTGTCGGCGCGGAGCCGAATCAAGCCGAAAGAGCGCGGCCCTACCTTCGCCGTCAGCGCCACTGGCCGGCCGCGGCGCCGCGCTCCCCGAAGATCGGCGAGTTACCCATCGCGTTCCCTTTTATACTGACCTATAAACGCGGGCAGGCAGTGGCCGGCGCGGCAGGCACGGCACGACAGATATTCGTCAATGTAAACCAGCCCGGCCCGTTTTCATGGGGGTAAAATGTTTTCAAAATGCGCCGGCCGTGTAAGCATGGCGGCGTGCCAGCGGATGCGGAGTGCGGAGTGCGGAGCAAAGCGGAGGGGGCAGGGCAGGGCGCGGGGCTTGCTGACACACGCCCTGCACGCCCCGCACGCCCCGCACGCCCTGCACGCCCCGCACGCCCTGCACGCCCCGCACGCCCCGCACGCCCCGCACGCCCTGCACGCCCCGCACGCCCTGCACGCCCTGCACGCCCCGCACGCCCTGCACGCCCTGCACGCCCTGCACGCCCCGCACGCCCTGCACGCCCTGCACGCCCTGCACGCCCCGCACGCCCTGCACGCCCCGCACGCCCTGCACGCCCTGCACGCCCCGCACGCCCTGCACACCGAACGGCTCCACGACACTGGGAGGCCCCAGCCCAGCCCCACGTCGGAAGATGTCGCTAGCTCCGCAAACACTCGCCAGTCAGTGGTTGACGACATCTTCCAAGGTGGATTGATTGGCCGATAGATAGCGCTGGCGCCACCTGTGACCGGTGACCGGGCCAGCCGAGCGCGTCCGGAGCGGCGAGGGGGTGGGGGACGTCACCCAGCTGCACCAGTGGCGTGGCAACCCATAATCGCCCTGGCGCCCGACGGCCAGCGCATAGGCAAGCCCGCCCGACTGCGGCGTCGAGCGGGTTGCATGGTCAATTTTACCATTGCCACTAGAGGCTGGACCACACATGATCGTATGCCATTTCGGGCCCGACCCTCGTTAAAGCTTTTGTCTACAGGAGTGACTTGGAGTGACGCGGCGCGCGAGCCGCGATTTCTGTTTTTATTTACTTCCCAAACCGCGCGCACTCGGACCAGCGGAGGAGGAGCGGCAGAGGCAGTCGACTACGGGCGCCGCCGTGGTCTGCGTGTGTGTTTGCATGTGTGTGTGTGCGCGCGCGAGTCTGTGAGTGAGTGTGTGTGTGTGTGCGCGCGCGCGCGCGTGTGTGTGTGTGTGTTTTGGTTCACGTCTGTTATGATGCCCAAATGACTTATGGGCGCGATGGAATAATGTTACTTTTATTTTTTTCGCGGCCGTGCCCGGCCGCGCCCGGCCGCGCCCGTGTTGTGACACGTGCTCACTGGCGGTGGTCGAGGAGGCCACGTCCGAGGCCCGTGCCCCTGGCCCACCTCCACCTCCACGACGACCTTTTAGGAGCTGGGCAACGGCAACCCAGCAGACCCCCAAACCGGTTCATGTTTAATGAAAAATGCGAGTATTACGACACCCGCAACCCCCACCCCTGGGCCCGGCGGCCTGGCCCTGGCGGGGCTCGAACCAGGAACGAAAGGTTTACGCGCGACAGGGATGGGCACTAAGGACAGAGGGCAAAGGCAAAGGGAGGGAGCACCAGCAGGCACACTGCTAGGCTCGGGCTGCAGCGCGGACTCGGACTCGGGTCGACTCGCATCACGCCTCATCCACCTAAATTTAGAGCTTGTGAGGCTTTCTCCGCCGCCACGCCGCGCCACGCCCGCTGCTCCCTGCGCCTCGCCCCTCGCTGCCGCGGTGCTGCCGTGCTCAGTGTGTTCTCAGGCCGGCCTGCCGGTCTTCAGGTCTTTACACTGGGAAAAAAATTATTTAAATTGTTTAGAGTGCAGTGCCGTACCGTTAGGCGGGGGCACTCTGAAACAATCGGTGACGATTGACTAAACCGTAACGATTGAAGAACGCTGAGGGCTGGGCATTAGATGCACTGTAAATGTCTTACGGTGCAAGGCTGCACCAACATATTATGGTGGAGATTTTCTCCATAATACCAACGAAATTCGTCAAAACATCTATAAGGTACAGTGGATTTTCAATGGTATGTTACGAAGTCAGCTGCACCACCATAATATGGAACATTTTCACCATAATATGGAGAATCTTCACTGTACAACATTTAGAGTGTGATTATAATCACTAGCACTGTTAGCGTTCAGCTTGGAGCCCTGTCAGCTAGAGGTTCAGGTAGCTGCGTTAACGGTGCAGGCTGAAATCTTGTTTAGCGCTGCGCTCTAGATGTTTTTCTCAGTGCAGCCCAGCCGAAGCCCCCGTGCACGCCAAGCAAACCCTCTCTGTCTTTGGCATGCCGTGGACGCGCGGGCGTAATCGCTATGCCCTGTTCTGCAGTTCGATTCCGCAACCAGTCTGTAGCTCTGTCTCTCTCGCACCCTCCGGCACACTCCATGAGTGCGAGAGAGACGGAGCGAGAAGTGCGGGCGGCGGCATCGCTCGACAGACCAACGCGACTAGGATAGCCACCCCACCCTCGTGTCGCGACTCGCGGCCGGAAGTCGCGCTGCAGCGAAGTGTCGCGCCTGAAAAAAGAGTCACCCGTTAAAAATACAAGGCGTAGTCTGTAGTCTTTTTTGTTTTCGGTTGGCAACCCCGCGCTCCTTGGCTTTTCTGGGTCTGCTGCCAACCCGATGCAGTTGCCATTGTGTGTCGGAAAACCTGTTTTTTAGGGTTCAAGGTTCAAGGACGTATGTAGCACCCGTCAGGTTTGCCAACCTCAGCGCGCTGCCCTTTTGGCACTGACAGGTAGTAGGTGGATTGCGATAAATTTCAGTGACACTCCCCTTAAAAATTTTCTGCGCACGCCACTGCCTACGTGGCGACACTGCTTGGGAGTGATGCCCTTTCACACACTTCTCACCCGAACCCCTTGAGGTGTCCTATCCGCGGCGCGCTGACGACAAAGACACCAACCTCCAAGAGGGCTGTTGTGGCTAGCCGTTCCTCAACGAATCGCTTATTTACGTTACTGTGACCCGATCCGTGGCCGGGGCCCTGGGCCTGCCTCGGGCCTGCCTCGGGCCTGCCTCGGGCCTGCCCGACTAAACCGGCCGGGTGGAGACCGTCGTCGCGTGCGTGCGTGAGGCTGTGTGTGTGTGTGTGCGTGCGTGCGTGTGTGTGTGTGTGTGCGTGTGCGTGTGTGTGCGTGCGTGCGTGCGTGCGTGCGTGTGTGTATATGCGTGTGTGGGCGGAAAAGGGTGATGGCTCGCGAGGAGCGGCCGGCCGGGGCTAAGAGGATCGCTATTGTGCGTGGATTGTGTGTGAGTGAGTGAGTGTGTGTGTTATGTGTAAGTGTGTGGGTGAGTGGAGTCAAGGCTACAAAACAGAAAGTCCGCGTCCTCCGTCCTTGGCACGCAAATAGAAAAGCGGCGGGTCCAGTGGGACGGTGCCGCTGCCCCGAGCCAGGCCCGAGCGACCCCTGGTGCCGCCCCCGCCGCCTCCACCGCCCCCACCAAGACGGCGACAAGTGCAAGGCTGCTTAAATAAAAGCGTGCAAAATGCAGATCCACCGCACGGCGCCGCGCGTGACGGCGACCCAGCGGCCGTATGCATTTAGAGGCTGCCGCCGACCCGCCCCGCCCCGCCCCGCCCCGCCCCGCCCCGCCCCGCCCCGCCCCCGCAATGCGGTGCAGCGTGCAGCACACGTGTCCGCCGCGCCCGCCTCCACGAGGGTTTATAAACGCAGCCATTTGTATGCCTCGGGAGGCCCGTCCTCGCCGTCCCCGCGCCGCCCCTCCACCCCCGCGCCGATTTGGCATTAGTCCGCCCCCGCGCCACAGTGGGCCAGAAGACCGGTGGAGGCGGCCAAAACTCTAGACGCGTTTTGAGCTCCAGAGTCGCTGAACATGACTCGAACCGAACGTGTGACCCCACCAATGGATTCCTTGTTCGAAGAGCAATCCATTGGTGGAGTGACACGTTCGGTTCGAGTCCTGTTCAGCGACTCTGGAGCTCAAAACGCGTCTAGAGTTTTGGCCGCCTCCACCGGTCTTCTGGCCCACTGTGCGCGCCGCCCCCACGCGCCTGCATGCACGCGGCGCGTCGCAGCGCGCAGTGCGTTAACGTACGAGGTGCGCGTGGCCGCCGACTCGGCGAGGACCACGTCGACGACCGCCACGCGGACGGCGCGCGAGCCGCCACCGGTGCTGCAGACTGATATCGTCGCGCTCTGTCTCTCACGCACCGATGCTGGACGCCCCATGAGTGCGAGAGAGACAGAACGACGTAAACGACTCTCGGAATCGGCCTGCTGGGGTGTCCGTCGAGGTGTCGCGGGCGAGCTGTAGGGTGGCTTGGAGCGCGCCAGCGCGCGGACCTTCAAACTCGAAACAGTCCCCCTGCGTGCTGCCGTGTGCTCCCGAATGAAGAGCGATTCTTCACTGTCTCTGTCTATTCTTGGGTCAGAATAGTTTTATTCTAATATTTAGGATCACAGGGTAAGAACAAAGACTCAAGTACCAAAGGGGAATACTCCAGAGAGAGATTTATTATTCATAGGTTAGTTGCATAGTAGGGACATCAGGGTTACAAGGCAGTGACACGAATAGTTCTCATACCCGACTTCTGGGCGGTACTTCTCTGTCGCACTGCAATGGAGTGCCGTTTGCGCGCGACAGCAGACTGATTCCGAGAGTCGTTTTCGTCGCTCTGTCTCTCTCGCACTCATGGGGTGTCCCGTATAGGTGCGAGAGAGACAGAGCGACGAAAACGACTCTCGGAATCAGTCTGCAGAGACGGGGCGACGAAGGGACTCTTCTGAATCGCTCGGCTGCAACAGGGCAAGCGTGGCGTCCGAGGGGGTATGCGCTCTCTGAACCTGTGTACCGACTATTACGCTATTACGCTCTATTACGCCACAAATTAATCGAAATTTAGCTGAAAACGGCCTAAAACACACCAAAATTGATAAAATTTTGACAATTTCGGCTATTACGCGACTATTACGCGACTATTACGCGTATTATTACGCGTGCTATTACAGATAGAGTGAACCGACTATTACGCGAGTGCATACCCCCTCGGTGGCGTCCGTCCGCGAGCCGCAGCGGCCAGGCCGGCCGGCCAGCGCGCGGGGCTGAAGGCCCTGAAGGCCCCTTCCGAACAGCCTCCCTTCGTCCCGCCTCGCTCGCACTCGTGCGGTGTTCCGACGGGGTGCGAGAGAGACAGAGCGACGACACGCTGGGCTGCCGTCTGATTCCGAGCGCTGCTTTCGTCGCTCTGTCTCTCTCGCACTCATGGGGCGGTCCGTAGGGGTGCGAGAGAGACAGAGCGACGAAGCAGTGTTCGGAATCAGACGGCAGCGCGGCTGACCTACTGACCCCCGCGCGGGAGTCTTCCACAACAAACAGAGCCGCGAAGCGAAGAGAGGGGGAGGGGAGGGGGTTGCTTCTCCTCAGCCCAGCCTCTCTCTTCCTCTTCCTCCTCATTTCGATGAATGGAAATTGCAAGAGTGGCCACACAGATTCGCAGAGGCAGTCTCTGAAAGTGAGGCCTTCCCTCACCCCCTTCCCTTCTCTCCGTCGAAGAATCGCTCGAGAAATTGGCTAGCCTCAAGCCAGGGCCTTTCATGCCGGGACTGTTTTGCACTCTTCCGACGGGAATGCGAGGACCGTTGGGGTAGGTAGACGGAGGCCGCGCGCGCTTCGTGGACGACACCCCAGAGAGGTGTGACGTCACACTATTTTGAGACCTGTCTGTCCGATCGGGAGCGCGCGCTTCGACACGCTTCGGGGCGGGGGCAGGCAGGAGGAGTGGGGGGGGGGGGGAATCGTAAAACGGCGCGCCGCGTCGCGGACTTTCCTAACCTCACTCTCATTCTGGGCCACGCGTGCCACGCCGCGAGCCACCTGCCGCGGCGCCGCGGCCGCGGTGTGCCTGCACTGCAAAGCGATTTCCGAACATAGCTCTGTCTCTCTCGCACTCATGGGGCGTTCCTTGCGGGTGCGAGAGAGACGGAGCGTGCCGAGCCTCAATGGTGGCCGCCCTGCCGCCCTTCGCCCTGCGAGTCCAATGAGTCGATCAATCTATCGCTGGACGCTGCCCCCCCCCCCTTTTTCACCCCGCGGCCGTAAACACCTCGAGCTTCTCGACGGCGGCCTCCTCTTTGATGCCCGGCATGGAGAGCGCGGGCGTTTTTTTCCGGTTCCGATTTTCCTTTTTCCCCTCCCTTATGAAAGGTAAAAGCAAACTGAACAATAACTCGCTGTCATAAAAATGCCGCTCGAAGCCTGCCACGTCTAGACGTCGTGTCGGCCACCTCAACAAGACCCGCCCCTACAGTGTGGTGCTCTTTGAGGCCGCGCTGCTAAACAAGCCGTCACGCCGCGAGGAGAGGAGAGGAGAGGTGCGCGGTCAAAGTCCGACAGCAGCGCACGCGCGTAGTGACGCAACAAAAACGAAAACAAGAAGGCAAACGCTTCCGACGTCGGTGCATCGCGCGAGTTTTCAACTCTGCTTTGTGTGGCAACAACGACCGGCAGCAGGGTGAAAAGCGAAAGCCCGAGGCGGAGCCGATAATTCATAAAAGTGTCACGGGGATGTTGGTGGCACAGTGGAGGGCAGGTGCCGCGCGTCTCCGCCGCCTACAGACTGATTCCGAGAGTCGTTCTCGTCGCTCTGTCTCTCTCGCACCTATACGGGACACCCCACGAGTGCGAGAGAGACAGAGCGACGAAAACGACTCTCGGAATCAGTCTGCTGGGTGCGGACGGCCTGGGCCGCGGCGTGCATCTGGCGATGGCTATCACCGTCCGGCCGAAAGGCCCGTCCCGGCTGCCGAAGGGCCTCTAATGAAAGGCAGCGCGACGCCGTCGCCGACCTGTCACCGCGTCGCCGCCCGGCTGGACGTGCGCGATGACGGCGCCGATGACGGCAGCGGCGACGCGGCGCGATGGGACGCGAGGCCGCCGTCGTGGCGGACGCGCTAACCAAGCCAATCAGCGTGCGCGGGGTTGATTTGCTCGCGGCCGACGGCGGCCACCTGTCCCCGCGTCGCTGCGGGAGCCCCTCCTGGTGGTACCGCTCCACGTTTGGCCGCGCCGTGCCACAGTGGGCCAGAAGGCCGGTGGAGGCGGCCAAAACTCGAGACGCGTTTTGAGCACTAGAGTCGCTAAATGGGACTCGAACCGAACGTGTGACCCCACCAATGGATTCCTCGTTCGGAGAGCAATCCATTGGTGGGGTCACACGCTCGGTTCGAGTCCCATCTAGCGACTCTGGAGCTCAAAACGCGTCTCGAGTTTTGGCGGCCGCCTCCACCGGTCTTCTGGCCCACTGTGCGTGCCGCGCCGCGCCGCTTGCCGCCTTTGTGGAGACGCGTGGAAAAGGCGTCGTCCTAATGAACGCTCATTATGAAGACGGATGCCGCGGGGCTGGCACCCGTCGCCGCGCTGTCTCTCTCGCACCCACGCGGGACGCCCCGTGCCGCGCGAGAGAGACAGAGCGACGAAAGCGCTGCTCGGACTGCCTCCTGGCGGGGCGGTCGTTCATATTCCGCGCCGTTCGATCGGCGCGCCTTGCCGCCACCGCATGCAGCCCGTTACTCAGCCCAGACACATTCGGATTGAGTTATCGCGGCGGCCGGCTTGTGCCGCGGCTCGAGATTCAGGTTCAGATTCATCGGGCTGCTCGTCGTGGGCTCTATCGGAGGCGGCGCGCTCGGGCCGCTTTGTCGCTGACGGATTGAGTCGCGCTGCAGCTTCCTTGGCAGCGGACTGATTCCAAGAGTCGTTTTCGTCGCTCTGTCTCTCTCGCACTCATGGGGCGACCGCTTTAGGTGCGAGAGAGACAGAGCGACGTAAACGACTTTCGGAATCGGTCTGCCGCGGGGCGCTTTTCTCCCCCGGACGACGACGGACGACGGCGGGCAGGTGAGAGTGAAAAGGGGGAGGGGGGAAGGGCGGCGGGCGACCGCTTTACGAGCAGCCCTGGGGTTGACTCGTGTTTCGTGTGTGGCGCGGTGTGGCGGTGGCGGGGATCTCTGCTGTCCATCAGTCAAATTGTGGGGCACCGCGCGTCATAAAACGCACATAACGCCTCCCTGGCCGGGCCCCGGCGGGGCGCGCCCCCCGCGGCGGGCCGCGACGCCGAGGCGTGGCGGCGCGTCTAGGTCTAGGCCTATGAATAGGCCGGCCTGCTCATGCCCATGGCCCTCGCCGCCCTCGCCGCCGTGGAGGAGCGTCCAGACGCACTAGGAGCGAGGCGACATGCTGAAGCAAAGCCACGGCCGAGAACGTCGCGAGTTTCGAGTTCCGGCTTGAGAGCGACGCATTGGCGGCGGCTATGGGTGCACGGCAGGCCGTGCTGGCCGTGCCGCGCTGAGCGCAGGCCAGCGCTGGCCAGCGAGCGGCACTTGTGGGTGCTCCCCGGCGTCGCTGTCGCTGCGAGGGAGGCGACGCGGAGCGGGAAGTCGCGCCTGCCGCCTTGCCCCAAGGGCCTTACGCGGAGCCCCTCGGGGGGCGCGGGGACGCGGGGGACAGGTCGGCGCGCGCGCTTGGGGCGGCTTGGGGTGGACGTGACCCTGGCTACAGCGGCAACCTCAATAGCTCAAGCGCGAGGGCCGAATGGGACGCGGACGAAGCTCCCGCTCGTCCTGGGTCCTGGGACGCATCAATTATTACGTCATCGTCGACGTCATGCCCGCGTGCGTGCTGAGCAGTGCGGGGCCTGGACTGTAGACGACCTAACCGTTACCACGAGACCTATGTGGCCTCGGCCGGACTGGATCTATCGCTCACCTGGAAGAACAGGCAGAAGCACACCCACTGGTAGTAGCCGTAGTACTTCCGGTCCTTGCCCTCACGGCCCTCCCCGCGGGCCGACATGTCCACGCCGGGGTAGGGCACCTCCTCGCCCAGCTTCTTCTTGAAGGACGTGCTGATGGTGTAGGTGGAGTGGATCCAACAGTACGTGTTGAGGACGTCCTCTGGAATGTCCTGGAACAGCGGAGACAGACAGGACGGATTCAGTGGGCTGTCGCGGCTGATCCGATCGCTCCTGTCTCTCTCGCACCCATGCAGATGCAGGGCGCCGCACAGTGGGCCAGCAACCGGCGCAGGCGGCCAAAATTCTAGACGCGTTTTGAGCTTCAGAGTAGCTAAATGAGACTCGAATCGAACGTGTGACCCCACCAATCGATTGCTCTCCGAACGAGGAATCCATTGGTGTGGTCACACGCTCGGTTTGAGTCCCGTTTGGCGTTTCTAGAGTTCAAAATGCGTCCAGAATTTTGGCCGCCTCCGCCGGTTTCTGGCCCACTGTGCGCCGCGTGAGTGTGAGAGAGGCAGAGCGACGACAGCGTCCCTTTCCAGGAGCGCAGCGCGGCGAGTGCGAGCGAGTGCGGCGGCGGAGCGCGCCGTGACGGCAGGCAGCCGCCGGGTGGCAGCGCGTCCGTGTCGGCGCAGTGCCTACCCGCCAGGCGCTCCAGCGGGCTCGCTGCGTGACGGCGCGCGCGCCCCTCCACCCCTCCACGCCGTGGAGGGAGAGGGAGTCCACGGCCCGCACCCCTGTCGATCCATTCCGCCACCGCAGTCCCTCTCGCACCCGTGGAGTGTTCCGCAAGGGTGCGAGAGAGACAGAACGAGGAGTGCGGGCGGCCGAATCTTTCAGCAGCGCCCGCATGCGCCGACGCCGAAGTTTGCGAGTCCGAGGTGCACGTCGACGACGTATCGAGGTATCGGACTTGGCCGACTCGGATCTGAAAGTGAGAGTGCCTTCGCCGCACGGAGTGCAAACACTTTCACCCTTCTTTATCGGCGACCCCGCCTCCCCGGTGGGCAGACGGCCCGCCCCGTGTTCTCAATTTGCAGAGGCGCCCGGCGCCCGTCGTGGGGACGGCTGGGAAGGCCAGGACGGCCAGGACGCGCACCACTGCACCACCAGGGCGGCCGGCAGCAGCGGGCCTGCCGGGGAATTCCAAAGAGTCGTTTCGTCGCGCCGTCTGTCTCTCTCGCTCCCTTGCGGAACGCCGCGCGGGTGCGACAGGGACAGCGCGACAAAACGACTCTTCGGAATCACTCTGCAGCAGGCAGTGCCCGCGGGCTTCCGGATGTAACAAGGGCCTTGCGACGTGGCGCTATGCAGTTAGTGAGCGGCCCGGCCCGGGGCCCGAAGCGGGGCGGGGCGCGGCGGGGTGCGGCGGGGCGGGGCGGAGCGGAGAGGGCCGGCGCCGGATGTGACGCGGCTTCGGAATGGCAGCGATAATGCGTCGACGGGGTGCTCCACCCTCGCCGCCCCGCCGCCCCGCCCACCGCCTCACCTGATGCTCGATCGCCGCGCCCACACGGCCCGCCCACACGCCCCGCCCACACGGCCCGCCCACGCCCACCAGTGGAGGAGCTGATTGCGATGCCCATTGCCAATCGTTCCGTTTCCAATAAGCCGCGCGCCTCGCAGTGCAGGCCGCCAAGGCAGCGCTGCAGGTCGCACCCCTCCCCCTCCCCCTCTCTTGGAGCACGCGGCCGCTCGGCGCGACAAGGCGTGGCTGCACATGTGGGGCTGCAGTGCCGTGGCAGTGCCGCTGCATTCGCCTCGAGTCCACAGCGCCGCCGCCGCCGCCTTGCCAGTGTCGTGGCGCCGCCGTTTGTGCGACCCCCTCCCCCCCCCCCATTCTAACTCTGACCCGGAACAGAGGGCCGCCGTTTGCAGCACGTAATGTTGCAAAGTGCTCGGTGGCGCGGCGCGGCCGGCAAATGTTGCCGGGCCAAACGTTTGGGGGGCGTTTTGAACGAGGAACTGCGGCTACGGGCGGGGCGGGGCGGGGCGGGGCGGGGCGGGGCGGGCGGGCGGGGTTGGACGGAGCGGGGCAGGGGCAGGGCGTGGGCTAACTCTGCGGCGGCGTGCAGAAAGACACATTGCACTCACTCCTCTCTCTCTCTCTCTCTCTCTCTCTCTCTCTCTCTCTCTCTCACACACACACACACACACACACACACCGAGGGCTGGCACAGAGAAACAATTAACGCCCTCTCTTACCCGCTCCCCCTCCGCTCCGCTTCCCCAGTGCGTGCTTAAATTCAAAGCAAGTGGAATCATCGATATTCTCCCTTGTTGCTTTTTTCTTTCTTTTTTTTCTTTTTTCACGTCCGTTGCCGGCTGCAGCGCGGCATTTGGGACCTGCCCGGGACACCATTTGCTGGCTCATCAGCGAAATTCTACTGAGTCATTCTCGTCTGCTTCCCCGCGGGCCGACCGGAAGTACAGTCACCGCGCTAAGTGGCGCCGCCCCCGCGTCCGCACACCCACAGACACACACAGACACAGGCACACAGACAGACACACACACACACACACACACACACACACACGAGATTCTATGATTCGCGTACACAGCGCGGCCCGTGCCAACACGGCCAACACGGCGGGGGTGGCAATGCGGTGGGGTGGGGCTGGCGGGGCCGGTGGGGCGAGGGGCTCGCTGTGTTACTCGGCCAATAACCTGTTGCTGATGGATTCATTGGACCTGCCGTGGCTGCTGTGCCGTGCGGCGCCGCGCTCGCCTCCGCCAGCGAGGCCGTAATCAAGGAGGGGTGGGGGCAGGAAGTCGCTGCAGCAGCCGCCCAGCGAGCGATTCCGCAGAGCGCTCCGTCTCTCTCGCACTCATGGCGCGTGCATCGAAAAGGTGCGAGGGTGCGAGAGAGACAGCAGCGCTACGGAATGCTGGTCGGAATCAGTCTACTTCAGCGGCCGGCGTCCTCGCCAGCGTCGCACCCCGGTCGACAAGCTCGTCGACCCGCAGCCCCCGCGCGGGTCGCGGCCATGGAGCAAGTTTGGCCAATTTGTCGCGGCTGTTCGCCGGGCCGCGGCTCGCAACGCTCATTAGCGTGCATGACGCTCGAAACGCTCGCAACATTAGCAACGCTCGCAACGCTTGCAGCATCAGCAACGCTCACAGCACTCACAACGCGCAACGCTCACAACGCCCGCGACACTCCTAACTCACACAAACGCTCACAACGCTCACAACACTGGCAACGCTCACAGCACTCACAACGCGCGACGCTCACAACGCCTGCGACACTCCCAACTCAGACAACGTTCGCAACGCTCACAACGCTCGCCTTGTGGAACGGATCCGCGGCGTGCCAGCGCCAGCACGCCGAGCACGGCGTGCATGAGGAGGACGCGCCGCTCGCGCCGCCGATGCCGGTCATTGTCGGACAGAAATAAGCGTGGAGTATTCATTTTTTTGGCGCGCCGCTGCGGCGTCCGGGGAACGGAGCGGAACGGCGTGTGTGTGTGTGTGTGTGTGTGTGTGTGTGTGTGTGTGTGTGTGTGTGTGTGTGTGTGTGTGTGTGAAGAAAGACGCAGAAATGGGGCGAACCAAGAGGAATAAAGGGGACGGCCTCTTGGCGCGCTTCGCCGCTTCATTGCGTCCGACAGGGGCGACTAATTAGTCGTGTCAAATGATTGATTTTGTTTGAACAAAGATACATCTTCCGAGAATGCGCGCTTTATTGAGTCGACTCGCTCTCGCGCGCGGAAGATGAGAAATTTCCCGTCCACTCGCTGACCCAAGCACACCAGCACCGCTGCACGCTTTGTTAGTTAGTTTGATGGATTTCGCGCGCGGGGTTGAAATTCCCTCCGGAAGGGAAACTCCGCGTGCACCTGCACCCTGACGCACAACCACCTCGGCGGCACGAGTGGCCCAGATAGGCTGGCCTAGGCCGTGCACTGCAGGGCCTGCAGGGCGGCGTGGCGGCATGGGGCTGGCGCGGCGGGCCTAGGCCAGCCTAGGCAGGCCTGCACAGTGTTTTGCCAGCCCCAACGGCCTGGCCCGGCCGGCCGGCCAGCGCGGCCTGCCGTCGTGTAAATCATGGAGGCGATGCGGAGCGGCGCGGCCGGCAGGCTGATTCCGAGAGTCGTTTTCGTCGCTCCGTCTCTCTCGCGCCTTTACGGCACGCCCCGTGAGTGCGAGAGAGACGGAGCGACGCTCGGGATCAGACCGGCGGCGCAGAGTGTCGCTCCAAACGCATGACGGGTTCCGTGTTTACCGGTGGGGCCGCCATTCGCCATTATCGCGGGCCTAGCCTTTCAAAGGGAAGGCCCGGGGATACCCCGCGCGCGCCGTGAGGTGTTCGAAGTCAGTTGCGCGGGGTTTGGCCGGGCCGCGCACACCGGCGTGGAAAGGAGGCCGCCTGGAAGAGTCGCAAGGATTCGCACTTCGCCGCTGTCAGCTTCCCCCCCCCCCCCCCAGACCTGTCTCTGGATCCGCCCTTGCGCGCACTTGCCTCCCCCCACGCACACACCCGGCGGTCCAGCCAGCAGACTGATTCCGTGAGTCGTTTTCTTTGCTCTGGCTCTCTCACAGCTACATCAGGGAACTCCCCACAAGTGCGAGAGAGGCAGAGCGACGAAAAGGACTCTCGGAATCAGTGTGCAGGTCCGCGGCCCCGGTGGCGCGGCGGCCGCGCCGTGTGTTTTGCTTGACGGCGACCTTGACGCCGCGACCGCCACTTTCCCCGGCACTCTGTATTCCGCGCGGCGCGCGACCCCGACCGCCCCCGCACCGCCCCCGCACCGCCCCCGCTCGCCGCCGACTCCTGGGGGACTCTTGGGGTGGCCGCACGACAAGTGTCGCCCCGCCGCCACCGCGGAGAGGGAGAGGGGGAGAGAGAGGGGAGAGAGAGAGAGAGAAAAGAGAGAAGAGAGGGGAGAGAGAGAGAGAGACAGAGAGAGAGAGAGAGAGAGAGAGAGAGAGAGACAGAGAGAGAGAGAGAGAGAGAGAGAGAGAGAGAGAGAGAGAGAGAGAGGAGAGAGGAGAGAGAGAGAGAGGGGGGGAGGGGGATGCAGCAATATCGGCAGAAAAAGTATAAAAGTGGCAAGGAAGTGTGTGAGTGCGCCGCGCTCGCAAAGACCTGAGGATTGTGCTCCGCGCGGCGCGGCCCGTTGGATTCATTCCCAACGGGGTGAAGGTCCTGACGGTCCTGATGGGCGCAGACCTGGGCGTGCGGCGTGCGAGCGCGGGGGCGTGGCGCGGCGCGGCGGGGCAGCCGGCACTATAAATACGTGCAGTGTAGTGGCCCGCCGGCTTGGGCTTGGACCGCGTGACCATGCGCGAAGTGCAAGGCGGTGCATAGGCTGCGCGCCGCGCGGGAGTGCGGCTTTCACACTTTGTATTGTGCCCGCCTTGACTTTACACGACCAGCAAGAGGCCAGAGCCGTTTGTTTTGTCGTCCGGCAAGAACAAAGATTGCTGCTTCGGCAAAATAAACGATGAAAAAAGCGATTTTTTTTTTGGCGCTTTGGCGACGGCAAGGACTCGTGATTGTTCTGTCACAGCCCCTTGTACAGTTAAGTTCACGTCACGTACTGCTCGGTGTCATCTCGTCCCTAAACCCTGACCGCGGAGAAAAAAAATAACTCACGAAAAAAAAAGACCGAAACAATGATCAATCAAATCCGCAATCCCTCATTTCGGCACCCTCTCTACCTCCTCTGGCCGCTGCCGCCGCTGCACCGGGATCGTGTCCGGTGTCATTTCTCATCCCGGAAGGACCGGCGCACAGTGGGCCAGAAGACCGGTGGCGGCGGCCAAAACTCTGGACGCGTTTTTAGCTCCAGAGTCGCTTAAAGGGACTCGAACCGAACGTGTGACCCCACCAATGGATTCCTCGTTCGGAGAGCAATCCATTGGTGGGGTCACACGTTCGGTTCGAGTCCTGTTTGGCGACTCTGGAGCTCAAAACGCGTCTAGAGTTTGGGCCGCCTCCACCGGTCTTCTGGCCCACTGTGCGACGCCTCCTACCCAAGCACCAGACCACCATCGTCGTGGTGGTGGCCCTGCTGAGCCGAAGCCTCGCCTCGCTCTGGCCCACTGTGGCCAGCCCCGAGGACGCCGTCACCGTCAGTAGCGCGACGGCGCGATGGCCCGGGCCGAGCATGGAGCATGGAATGAATTAAATTTGAGGTCGATTTGAGGGCAAACGAGCGCAGCGGACGAGAGGCGCTGGACACGCGCCAGAACGCGTCCAGCGGACTGATTCCGAGAGTCGTTTTCGTCGCTCTGTCTCTCTCGCCCCTATACGGGACGCCCTATGAGTGTGAGAGTGACAGAGCGACGAAAACGACTCTCGGAATCAGTGTGTCCGCGACCACGGCCACCACGTCCACGACGCCCACCCCCTCGCAGGGCCTTTCTTTTTACTTCCCGCATCATAAAATCTTTGTTTATCTGCGGCGGGATAAATTGGCAGAAAAATTGGTGCCAAAAAGCCGAAAGGCTTCCGCCTCTCGCGTGGGCTTCGCCGCCGTGCGAGTTCGATAGCTCGATTCCGTGTTATTTTCAATTCCCACTGCGGAAAAAAAATAGTTGAAGGCCTGGCGTCGCGGGGTGTTGAACCCACGCGCGACGCAGCCCAGGCGAATCGCCCCCACCCGCCCCGCCGCGGCGGTGGCCAGACCGGGCCAGACTTGGTGCAGTGATTGTAATCTGGATGACGTTTGGCACTTTGACGGGGCGAGGGGCGGCGGCAGGGGGCGGCGCACCGGTCGGCAGGTGGAAGTGAAAGCAGAAAGCCAAACGCACTGCGGCCGGCGTGGCGGCGTGGGCGGCGACGACAGTCCCCAACTTCTCGCTATGCGCCAAACGTGATTTAATCCCCCTTTGCCTGATTTGGGGAAACACTTTGCAGTGTGCCCCACTAAGCTTCACTTTCCCCCGTCGGTCGGAAGAGACGTGTCTGCGGAGCGACTTGTCATGCCCCGGCGCCACGTGCTCTGGGGGCGGGGAGGGGGGGGGGCGTCGCCGGCATCGGGAACGAGGGGGGGGGGATCAAGATCCGTACCCGTACCTTGGTGTGCACGCAGTCGATGGGGTTGCCCACGTACTGGCGCGTGGTGACGATGAGGCTGAACGCGACGAGGATCATGACGGTGATGCTGTAGTGCAAGCGGAAGACGGGCGCGTCGATGTGGATGTGGCTCACTTTGATGAGGTTCTTGAGTCCCCGGAAGATGTCGAGCATGTCGCCGCACCTCAGCCACAGCAGAGGGCGTTGGTGGGGGTAGGGGCGGGGGTAGGGGGCGGCGACCCTCCGGTACGACGCGGTGCTGCTGCTACCCGCCGCCGCGCGCCGCAGCCACCGCAGCCGCGACGCCTGTCGCTGCAGCCAGGTGCAGCAAGCCTTGGCCAGCCGCCGGAGTGTCTCCAGCGCCTCCAGCGCCTCCAGCGCGCCAGGGGCGGGTCGGGGCGGGGGCGGCACGGGTCACCAGGACCGCGGCCTCCGCCGGCAAGCCGGGCACGCCGCCGCCACGGCCGTCATGTCGTCGTCCTGAGGGCCGGCTGCCGGTGGAGGCCTGCGCGAGTCCTGCCTCGCCGTGGCGGTGTCCTCGACGAGGCCCTCGACGGGGCCCTGGCGGCCCTGGCGGCCCTTGCCCTTGCGGAGGTCCGCGTCGTCCGAGTGGGCGCGGCGGTCACTGCGCCGGCCATGGCCGCATGGCCACGCTCGGCACGCTGCACTCGCGGCGCGCGGCACGCGGCACTCACTCGCGGCCGCGCCGACGCATCGCACTTTGCACTTCACTTGCACACGGGCACCACGACGGGGGAACGACGGCCACGCGGAGCGACCGGCGTCTCACTCGGAACGCCAAATATCCGCGCGTCCGCGACTGCACGGCGACGGCACGGCGACGGCGCACAGCTCTCCCTACACTGCACACGCTGCGCTTCGCGACGCTCTGCCTCGGCAGCGACTCGCGACGCCCCGCCCAGACGACCAGACGCGCAGACCGGCGTCTCGAAGCACGACGCCGCCGACGTTGCCACCGACGTTGCCACCGATGTAGCCACCGACACTGCGCCGGCCGGCCGGGGGAGCACTGTGGGGCTGTGAGGGTTCGCGGACCTCTACTCTGGTGGACTTGGGCTCCTCGGCGGCTTGTCGTAGCCCCGAGTAGCCTCCCCCTTCCTCGTGGCCCGCGTGTAGCCCGCTTCCTTCAGGTGGCCACCCCCGCCTTGGACGCCGTGGACGCCCCCCTCCCCTCCGCCACCGCCACCGGCGCCCCCGCCACCCCCACCCGAGTCCCTCCTTCGCTCGCGTCTTGGTCCGGGCTCGACTCGGCTCGTCTCGGCTCCGCTCGGCTCCGCTCGGCTCGACACGGTTCGTTCGGCCCCTGAAACCGTACCACACACACAATCCTATTTAAAACATAAGACAAGCCAGGCGCATCTTTCTCTCTCATATTCCGCCGTGCTTGCGAGGCGGCCCGCGGCCCGCCGCTCCTTCCCGCCCTTTTCTTTTCTTGTTCTTGAAACTTGTCCCGCGGCGTTCACCCGAAAACGCCTCGCTAAAATTACCCGCGCGGGTCACGGGGTCGCGGCGTCGGCCTGCACCGCCAGCAAGGCGGCAACCCGCCTGCATTAGTGCATTGTGGGAACGCGGCGGGGCGGGGCGGGGTGCGGTGGGGCGCGGAGGGGTGCGACGTCCGGTCCACGTATTACGTAACGGCGTAACGCCCCTTGCACTCCACTCGGACGGTACAGCGGCTCGCCCCCGTTCGCATGACAGCTTCCTGGCTGCGATTTTCCAGCAGGCTTCCCCCGCTCATCCACGGCCCGCATCTGGCCCGCCCCCCGCGAGGCCGACGCGCACTCCACAGGTCCGCGGCAGACGCCCCGGTTGCGTCACCTCCAGGGGGGCATTCCAGGCGAGACCCCCAGCGGATCCGTGTGGCCCGAGACCTGGTAAAGATGGTGTTATTTTGGCGTTCTTCGGACTCCAAATGTACTTTAAATTAACACCAAAAGGACACCATAGAAGCACGCTAAAATAACTCCATAATTACATCAAATGCATTTGGTGTCAACGCGGCGTTATTATGGAGTTTTTTTAGTGTAAAAAGGCTCGTTTTTTCACCAAAAGAACGCCATAATAATACCAAAGCAGAGGACAGCCATAGAGAAAAATGACAAAAGAGAGACGGCAGGTGTTGATCCCCAGATCTGCGACACGGCAGTTTCGTGCGGAACCGCTTGGCCAGGCGACTCCGAGAAGATGAGCCGCACGGCAGCTATATGTCGTGCGTTGTGCCGCGCCGGATTAGCCCGAATCCCCCCGGCTGGAGCCCAATCTTGTTTCTATAAACATGAACTCGTACAGTGTAGGACCATTACAGGTTCCGTCATGTTATAGAAACAAGATTGGGCTCCAGTTTATGTTCTATAAACATGACAGGACCCGTAATGGTCTGCTACACTGTACGAGTTCATGTTTATAGAAACAAGATTGGGCTCCAGCCGGGGGGTTCGGGCTAAGTCCGAGCGCGGCACAACGCACGACTATAGCTGCCGTGCGGTCGTCCCCCCGGACTCGCTCTGGCCAAGCGGCCCGCACGAAACTTCCGAGTCGCAGATCGGGGATCAACACCTCCCGTCTCTTTTTTGTCATTTTTCTCTAGGGCTGTCCTCTGTTTGGTTTTTATGGCGTTCTTTTGGTGAAAAAAACGACCTTTTTACACTAAAAAAACTCCATAAAACGCCGGTTGACCCCAAATGCATTCGATGTAATAGGAGTTATTTTAGCGTGCTTTTATGGGTCCTTTTGGTGTTAATTTGAAGTACATTTGGAGTCCGAAGAACGCCAAAATAACACCATCTTTACCAGGTCTCGGGCCACACGGGCGAGTCCCGGTTTCCCCCCGCGCCACTTTGCGCGCGCAGTATCTTAGCGTTTTGTTTTTACAGCGGCGGCACGGCCTGCGCCGCACAGTGGGCCAGAAGACCGCCTGAGCGTCCAAAATTCGAGACGCGTTTTGAGCTCCAGAGTCGCTAAATGGGACTCGAAACGACCATGTGACCCCACCAATGGATAGCTCTCCGAACGAGGAATGGGTCACACGGTCGGTTGGTGTCCCATTTAGCGACTCTGGAGCTCAAAACGCGTCTCGAATTTTGGCCGCCTCCGCCGGTTTCTGACCCACTGTGCGCCGCTCTCCGCCGAACTGATTTACACGCGTTTGCGCTTCCGCGCCCTCGAGACTGTCGAGGAGGAGGACGGCGACGACGGCGGCGGGGCTCTGGCGGCTCAAAACTACATAACGCACAATCCACCGCGAGACGGGCCTAGCGCCCCGCGCCCCGCGTGCCGGGCTGTGTCTTATTGCCCGGCGACAAGGATTGGAGGGATGCGCCTTGCACCGCGGAGGGAGGGGAGGGGGAGGGGCAGGGGGAGGGGAGGGGAGGGGGAGGGGGGGGAGGGGAGGGGAGGGGAGGGGAGGGGTGCTTCGCGGCGGCGGGGCGGCTGCAGTCTCGCCGGCGGCTTATTCGGGTATATATTGCAATACATCAGGCCGCACCGCGCGCCCTCCGCCGCCGCCGCGATTTAGTTTGCAGTCCACGCCTCCCCGACATGTGTAACACGGCGCGGCGCGGCCGAAGCCCCATGGTGCGCCGCCTTGCGCCGCGCGCGGCTTGCCCCGCGCAGTGTTTGGCAAATACTTAGCCTGTTCTATTCTGCACTGCACGTCGCTGCAAGGCGATGCATCCCCCTGGCCTGCTGGCCGGCCTCCTCTCCGCCACTTATGTTTTATGGCCGAGTCGCGTCGCCGGAGAGAGAGAGAGAGAGAGAGAGAGAGAGAGAGAGAGAGAGAGAGAGAGAGAGAGAGAGAGAGAGAGAGAGGGCAGAGGGAGTGAGGCGACGCGACGTCGAGGGGAGAGAAGTGCACGGCATTTAAAAAGTCGTCACCGATACCGTGTGTGCGAGCAGCGAGGCCGCATCTCGGCGCATCTCTTGTCGAACGATCCAAACTTTCCGGATCCAATATCGCCTCGGTTTGCCTCGCCGTTTTATGGCCGTGTCCTGTTTCGCGCAGCTTTTTGCAGTCGGGAGAGAGAAAACGCGTTAAACGTTTTACTCCCATTTTTTTTGCGAGCACCCTCTGAAAGCCTTGTTGTGGGTGAGGGTTTTTCATAGTTTAGTGAATATTTTTCCTAGGGTATAGTGCTGGTGCAGCTTTTCTTTGTAACTGATCTCTAAAAATTCATTTTGTGGAATATTTTTTGTTTTACGGAAAAAATCTCCGCACCATATCTTTGGTGCAGCCTTTCATCGTTAATACATTAAGAGTGCATGGTTTTCAAGCATAGTAATGCCTTCACTCCACCACGGTGCAACCATGGTGCATGGTCGGAAAAGGTGTCCTCGGAACTCGGCACAATTGAAAACACGTCCTTGACTCCTATTTGTCGATTGGCTTTTTTCCTCCCCGCCGTTCGGCCGAATTGCAGCCGCGCTGTCATTACTGCACCCCAGCCCCGGCGTCCCGCCCCGCGTGGCACGCCACCGTATACAATCAATTTCCCGCTGATAAACTGTTTGTGATGTCGCGGGGACACTCTGCAAAGGAGATCACAACTTGGTATGGGTCCTTGGGGACCGCCGTGCCGTGCCGGTGGAACGGAGCGAGCCCGCCCAGCCCACACATTCGTCGCTCTGTCTCTTTCGCACTCGTGCGGCGTCCCGTAAGGGTGCGAGAGAGACAGAGCGACGACGACGCCGAGCGTGCTGCCCGCGCGCCGAGGAGGGCGTACCGTACCTGCTGCGCTGAGTCCACCCCACCCCGCCCCGCCCCGCCCCGCCCTCGGTGCACTCGGTCCGACAACAGCGATGCTCGTATAAGCCAATTTGGAAGGCGAAGGCGAAGGCGGCCGCCACTTGCATACTTCCGCGTCGCGCTGCGAAGACGAGCTTCTCGAGGAAGGAAAGGCAGAGGGAAGGGGGGGGGGCGTCCTCGCCCCGCCGAATGTTTCCGAAGCATCGCACAGTGGGCCAGAAGACCGGTGGAGGCGGCCAAAACTCTAGACGCGGTTTGAGCTCCAGAGTCGCTAAACAGGCCTCGAACCGAGCGTGTGACCAATGGATTCCTCGTTCGAAAAGCAATCCATTGATGGGGTCACACGTTCTGTCTCTGTCGCACTCATGGGGCGTCCATCGGGGTGCGAGAGAGACAGAGCGAACAATCCTTCGGGATCGGGCAGCTGCTCGCCGGCCGGCCGGCTAGCGCCGCGCAG